AACAATATTTGTTTTATTTTATACAAAAAATACATTTTTAATTGCAATCACAAAAAATCAACAAAAACGGCTAATGTCAAGACAATCCTTTATTGGACTTTGTTTATAACTAATAATTTAATTTAGTAAATGAGGAGGAAAGCACTGCATGCAAGAATTGAGCAAAAATTACAACAAAAAACATTAAAATTAAGAGAACAGTTAGAGAAAGAATTAAGAGAACAACTAGAGAAAGAATTAAAAGAAAAAGAAAAAAAATTTTATGAAAAAGAAATTGAATAACAATTAGAAAGAAATAAAATGAATAAAGAATTGACTTAATTGTAGAATAATTTAGGATTAGAAATAAAGGAAAGAAAAAAAATTCAAGACGATTTAGAATTAGAAAAAAATAAAATAATAAAAATGAATCAAGAATTAACTGAATTGAGAAACAATTTAAAAGAAGAAATATTGGAAATTAGAAAATCCAATGAAGTTTTTATTTATGATTTAACGTGTTCCGTATAATGATTAGTCTTTTTAGATTATAATTTTATTCAAGCAAACTTTAGAAAGAAGACTATATTATTAATCAGATAAAAATTTATATTAGTTTTTCTTATATTAAGTCATTTAAATATAAAAAATCTAATTCAAACTAAATCATCTATTTTTTTGATATCATGACTTCATTCTGTATTTTTTAAATTTATATTCTTTCTTTTTTAATTTTTATTTAGCTATTGATTTTTATCTAAACTATTTCCTAATTTCATATAAATAATCATCTATTTCTATTCTTCTTGTTATTTATAGCTCGGAATCAATCTTTTGAAAGACTTTAACAAAGCTTAAGATGATTAATACTTTTAGCCAGTTCTAAATATCTTTATTTTTTTGTTGGCTTTTTATTAAAATTAAAGTTAGAAATCCCATTTTGAGTCTAACATTTGTATAAAATTATTAATCTGATTGATATTAAAATACCAATATCTTTTAGTATATGTAAAACTTAGTTCAGCAAACTGATTTTGTATCTGAAAATAAAAGATTATTATCTGTACTTTAACTTCTTCAAGTATGATTGAAGGTTTTTATTCTTTTTATAGTTGTGAGAAACTTGGAGGAAATTTTTGTTGTTGAAAAGTATTTGGTTTTAATTTTTAATTTTTAATAATAATTATTTTAAAAAAATTTAACTTATTTTTCTAATTTGAAAAATCATTTGTTATGAATCTTGTAAAAAAATTGTTAATTAGTTTTTTCATATAGTCATATTACTGTCAATATATTTGTTTTAGATATATTTTCTTAATCAATTAGTTACTTTTTTATCAATTTATTTAATAATTACAATTGCTTATTATTGTGTAAAGTATCAATTTGTAGTGAGTAACTATTTTAATAGAAATAACTATTTTTCAGATAATTATTATTATAATGGATATAAATAGATAGTAATATAACAATAAAATTCTCAGATTAAAATTAATTATGGAATTAGAAGAATTAATATATAGAAAATCAGATATATAATTTCTATTGTAAACAAAATAAAAATAATAAATTTTAGAAGTAATAAATTCATTAGAACTTTTTTAAGTTAATTCACTTTTCAAACTCTTCGATGATTTCTGCTACCAAGCTAACCAAAGTTGCTTACTTAATTTAATATGCTTAGACTAAAATTCTTATTAAAATCGCAAAATCATTTTCATCAAATATCTTATTTTAAATGGCCAACGATTTTATCCATTTTTTAATTGGATATTATGGTCCATGTAAACTTTTAATTAATTCAATCCAACAAATATTGGTTTTTGAACTTTTGGGGATAAATTTTTCAATATCTATTTTTGGAGGAGGTAGAATTTTGGGATTTTAAAGTTTCTCTTGGGTGGATTTGGATTTAATAAGGGTTAATTTATTCAAGAGAGAATTTGAATTGATATTTTGAGGAGAAGGCAATCTTCTAAAAAAATATGAAGGCTCTTTGTTGCTTCTGTCTGTTAAGCATTCCTTGATGTTTTACAATTTTTTTTTGTGAATTGCCATATTGAAATCATTTATTCTGGTAGAAATTGGAAGCTTTGAATTTTCATTCTTCTTGATAAATGAACATCTAATTTCTGTATTTAAATGCCTTTCTTTAATTTATTAAAGGCATAATCTATGACCCCATAATTAGGATAATATTAATTATCGGCCTCCCACATTCCGAGTGTCGGGAGTGAATTGCATACGTTAATAAATATTATAAATAAAAATTACAATAATAAATAATTTTTGTTCAATTCTTGAAACTACCCTTGATCCATTCTTACAATACTTCTTATTCCTTCTTTCTACTTTTTAACTCTTATCATTTATAATTTTACCAAGGCCCAAAATAACTAGTTCCATCATGAAAAAAGAATGTCCCATTCTTAAAACAAATAATGTTTTGTATAACAATAACTTTATAACATCTTCCTTCAAAATAAAATAAATCTTTTTGTCCATACATTGTGCTATTTGTCCAATTCCTTAGCCCCAAATAAAAGTTCCATATCCTTTCATAAATCTTGACTAATTTATTATTTCATTTAATCATTAACAACACAACCTTTGAGCTTTGTCAAATCCATTTTGCTTATTGTTTTTAAATTCTTCTTCATCTTTAGTTCCATCAACAGATTTCTAAATTCTTTTCCCTTCAATTTTATCTTTCTGAAAATCCCCTTTCTGTAAAGTACTTAAATTTACATTCAAATCTTCGGGTGCTCTGATTCATCTCTCATTTGGATGGTAAATTCTTTTGAGATAGAACCTTCATAAAAAGAACCATCAGAAATCAATTTTCCTCTTCTCCCTTTGATTATTTAATCAATTTGACCTTCATAAATTGAACCATCATTTAATTGCTAAAATTAATTAAAATTTTAAATAGGAGTTAAAACTAGATTTAGCAAATTTCAGCGTTATAGTTTTTTTAGTATAACTATTTTCCATATTATGAATCTACTGTTTAACTATATAGTTGCAAGATTCTACCACTCCACCAAAAGGTTAGATTTTTTCATTTTTTTGCTTCATGTTTTCCAATTACTCTTTTCTAGTTCAACCTTTATATTTGATTCGTATTTACTTCTTTTCTTGCATTCATATTTCTAATTCTAGATTAATTATTAAAATATTTTCTTCATCATATGATAATATTTGGAGTGATTATAGTTGATCGTCTTCAAAATTCAAAGTTTACCTTTTATCGAAATTTGTTTAGAGTGCCTGAGATACACAACTACTGAAATTATAAATTCTATAAACTAAATATTTCACCTCCTATCATTCAAATATTACAATTAAACAATTAGAACCATCATCTTATTATAGTAATTATGTCACCTTTGATGGCAAGTAGATTGGAAATTAAATTATTCGAGATATAATTCTCCAAAATGAGTAAAAACTTTTCACTTCATAGAAAAGAAATTTATTGATTAAATTGAATTTTATTCTCATCAGAATTTCATTGAAATCATGATTTATAAATTAGATTTTCCCATTGCTAAGTAAATTAGATGAGTTTAAATGGTCAATTAAATTTCAATACTTCCTAAATATTTGAAATGAAGGTTACAATGGTTGGATGTAATATCTTCTGAATTTGTATCAATAAATTTTCAAGCAATGAGATATAATGGAAACAGAAAGTTGTGAAGTTAAATTACAAATAATACTATTATTTATTACTTAATTCAAGGATTTTTACTCTAAATTAAAAATATCATTGTATGAGTCAAATATTTTAGATATAATTGTTTTTAAGCATATTTCAAATAATTGATGGGTTTTTAAAAATTTATCCAGCCTATTAAATTTTCTGAATTCAAAATTTGATATTTATGATAAAAATTTTTATATTTTATATATTAATGCTTTTTCCATTCATTAATATACCTGTAATTTCTTGATGATTTAAAAACATACTTGCAATTAATTCTCTTTGTGATTATTCTTGTTGAATAAAATTTTCTACTCCAAACTATTCAAAGCGTAAATTTTTTCTTTAAATAAGTTTGTTCATTAAACTAAAACTTTCAAGTTAGAATAATTTTGTTTCTTTTGAGAATAAGTGGCTGAAATTTAAGTATTATAATAAAAAGTAATTATTCATTTATTAAATTATAAAATAAGAATATAAAATTGGAAATGAAAACAATTGTAACTAGACAAAGTAACTCTAATATTAATTGATATTATTTAAGCATTAGAAGTGTTTAAATTTGTTATTATGTTGTATGGATATTATAGAGCAGAAATAAAATCAAATATTTCTCATTTAAGATTGAAATTAATGCAACGAAATAGAATAGTTATTAAAATATTTAAGAAGTAATAAAAATGCATTGTGAATCAAGGTAGATTTATTTATGATAATTCGAAAAATTTTTAATTGTTTGTTTACATTTTCTAGTTGATTTAACAAAAAATCATACCTAATCAACATCCAATAGAATTGAATAATTAAAAATAACTAAGTGTTATTAAAAAATAATAATGAAAAGTGTGAAAAATATTCATAAGAAGAATTGTTTTACATAAGGATTTTTGAAACAATAATGTAAAATTCAAAAATATAATTAATGCAAAGAAAATTAAAATAAGGGAAGAAGAAAACTTCCTTATAATAAAATATAATAAAATATAATAAATGAAAAGATGCAATGGAAGAAGCAACAAAATGATTTGTTTAAAATGATCAACAAGAGCAGGTAGATTTTATTTGTCACAACATAAACTTAAAGTAAACGGAAAACAAAATAAAAATGAGCAATAAAAATAGTATTGAATACTAAAGATTAATCTGGGAATTATTAAGAAAGTCAATAAATGGAATTATAAATAAGGTGAAAATCATAAATATATAAAACATAATCGTTGAATAATAAAAATATATTGAGAAAAAAATGAATGGAAAAAATTTTAGGAGAATTTTTAAAATAAAGATTATGTGAAATTGTAGAAATTTTTTAGAGAAAATTTTATGAAATAATTGTTTTGTTGAAAAATATGCAACAATCATTTGATATGAAACAGCATAAGTTAGAAATGTATTTTTTTTACAAATGCAATTGATTGGAGAATTTTAAAATAAATGCATTTCATTAACATAAGAAAGTGTTACCTCTTTAAGAAAAATTATGATTAAATTTCTATTCTTAGAATTAGCTGATAATACGAGTCTACCTGCTTAAACAAATAAATTATTGGATCCAGAACTAAAGGATTATCTTGTTGGTCTCATCCCAGCTGATCATCCAAAAAATACTAGATTTTCTAATATTTTTTCATAGGCTCTTAAATAATTTGAAACCTTAGCTGAAGAAGATATCGAAAGTGAGAGTAATGAAGAGTCTTCTTCAAACAACAGTAACAATAATTATTCAAAAGATAAATTAAAAAAGACTCATTAATATAAAAATAAAAAAGAAGTTGAAGCTATTACAAATAGTACAAATGATCAAACAAAAAATAAAGATAGAGGAAAAAAAAAGAAGAAGAAATGGAGAAAGAAAGAGAAAAATTAAAAGAGAGAGAGAGAGAAAGAGAGAAAGAGCAATAGTCCAAGAGAAAGTGACAATTTAAGTTATAGCAGAAATAACAGCAAAAGCTTAAATGTAATTCTAGATGCTTAATTATTTTTATATTTGAATATTTTAACATTATAATTTTGTTGTATTTAATTATTTATTGCCTAAGGTGTTTAAAATTGTCTAATCAATGTCTTGATACAATTTTCCAAAAAGTTTTATTTTAAAAAAATATAAAAAGATTTTTAAATCTAAACGTCAAACTTATAAATCATTGAATGGTTTTTAATCTAAATGTAGATAGAGTAGGGAAAATGTCTATTAAATTATTTAATTATATACTCGATGACCCAAAAAATTTAGCCATTTAAGAATCTGTTTTAAGATTATATTTAGGAGTTACCGTTCTCATTTAGTTATTTCTTCTTCTTTAAATAAAAGTCTGGATATTTTCCTACTTTGCCTCATGAATCTAATGTAACTGACTCAAAGGAAGACTGCTTAAAATTTTATTGAGAGTGTAATTTGCTCGATTAAAAGAACCAGATGATATCTAATTGCTTTATTCTTTTTACAATATACCTTTCCAATTAGGCAGTTTAAAATCTACTCATAGAAAAAGGCTTTCTCTTAATTATTTTTTATTAATATCTTTTGGGATTTGCTAAAATTAACAAAAGAATACGTTGTGTTTAAATATTGTTTTAATTGACACTAGGTTGATTAGATTCTTGATGAATTTCAGGTTTTTTCTAATTTTTGCGGTGCAATAACTCGAAATATTATGGTATACGAAATTAAGTGAGCTGTTGAAATGATTAACTATAAGGCATAGGAAGGTTTTGGTAATCTAAATATTTTCCATCTTCTTTTAGAATTTTTTTATTAGCTTCAATTAATTCAGCATATGGAGAGCTTGGTTTTTTTCTCATAATATTTATTAATTATAATGATAATATATACTTAGGTATAAACATAAAAAAATAACAAAAAATATAATAGGGATTTATTTGACTTATTATGCAATCATTCTTAAATTAATTTAAATCATAGAATAAAGAATTCAAGTTCAAAAATTCGGGGATGCTGACAAAATAGATTAGCAAAATAATTTGTAATTCATTATGAAATAATATTAATATATTGAGGTAATAAAATTTATTTCTTATAATTATGTTCATCAGCTTGAACAAAATAAATCAAATATATTATCACAAGTTTATGTTATTAAAAATGTTTTAATCAAGATGATATTATATAAATTTAGTGAATTGTTTGATTTTTGAAAAAAACTCTTATTTAAAAAAATGAAAGAATTTACAAGGTTAAATTACTTAATTATGGTGAAAAAAAGGATTATAACAAATTTTATTATGTTAAAAAATAAATTAAATAATAATTTATTGGCAGAATTAATAATAGGAAAGTTATCATTCTATAAAACATTTTAGAAAAATAAAAGTGAATTAACAGAAGAATAGATTGAAAGCTAAAAACGAATATGTAATAAATCAATAGTAAATGAATAAGATTATATTCGCTTTGTTAGTATTAAGTGTAGTACAATCAGTTTTTGTTAAAAGATCAAGCGATCCAACAAAGGCAGTTTTTACATAACTTGAAGCTATGGAAGAACATGAATTAGGTAAAAAACTTTTGGACACAATCGCCCTTTAATTAAATAACAGAGCTCCATTGTCAGATATTGCAAAGATGCTTTAATAATTAAGAGAAAATCTTATTTTAAATTAATAAGAGGCTGATTAAAAGCATGCTTAAGATGAAGTGGATTGTGAAACAGAAATTTACTAATATAATAGAAGAATTGATTATGCATCTGCAGAAATTACTGATTCAACAACAGAGATTTCTACATTAACTTCAAAAGTTGAATAGCTTGCTTAAGATGTTGAAAATAAGAAGGTACAACTTGATATTTTAAATGAATAAGAAACAACTTTGACTGAACAAAGAGCTAATGATGCTGAAGATTTTATTAAGTTTGAGAATGAAACTGAAAATGTGATTGATGCTATAGAAGTTATTTTCACAAAATTATCTTCAATTTAACCTGATTAAGAAGTTGTTTAAATTTTAACATAATTAAATTAAATTGGTGCATCAAATCCAATATTGGCATTAATGTAAGTGGCATCAACATTCTCTAAAGATTAATTAAATAATGTCTTAAATAAATTAAGTGAAGTAAGTTCATCTTTAGAATAAAGTCTTCATGATGCAAGATAATCTGAAATTTAAGCCTAATTAGATTATGAAAGATTAATGGTTGAAATAGAAAGTCAAAGAGAATCATTATCCTCAGCAAGAGAAGATTCTGAAAGATAATTAAAAGACAATGAATAAGCATTAGATCTATAAAAGAAGAGAAAAGAAGATGCAACTGATGAATTAAATGCAGCCTCTACAGGTAAGGAATAAAAAGAAGGTGAATGTGATGGTTGGAGAACTTAATATGCTGTTGATACTGAACATAGATAATAAGAAATTTCAATCATTAGATAGATTGAAGAAATATTGGCAACTAAACTAAAAAATGTAAAAGTGTACTTATAAGAAAGATCTTCTGCATGATAATATTTTTATTCAGATTGAAATATTTTATTATCTCTTCACATTTAAAATAAATTCTTTATATTTTTTATCTTATTAAGTATTGCTTAAAATGCTCAATTTAATTGAATGTTTCTATATTTTTGTATAATTTAAGTAATTGTAAATGGAATAATTTAATTATAGTTTTTATAATGTTATTGATATACTATTAATTAAATGGATTAATAAAATGATGTCGTAACTTAGGATTACTAATAAACAAATGATGAATAACTTGACATGTCTTCAACCAAAGATGAGCCAATAGAATAACCTATTGCTGAAAACCCTTAAATAACTGATGACATTCCAGCAATTGATCCAATAATTGATTAAACTACAGATCAACCCTCAACTTCGGATAATTAATCAGAATAGCCTAATCCTACTCCAAATCCATTTTATACTTATTCAATTTTGGCAAAAGAATTTATTTTGTTTAGCCTTCCATATTTATATTTTATATTTGCTGCTCTTTATAGGATTTACTAACTTTAATAATTGTAAGCAACTACAATTTAAAGATAATCCATAAGATCACAATTAAGTGATGAAGATATGTAATTATTTAATTAAAGTTAATTAGTCCAAAAACTAATCCTCCATCTTTGAATATCAAAATTATGATTTCATATTGGCTATGTTTTGTGTGCACAATATCAATGATATTAGGATTTTTTGGTCTTATCATGACTATATCACCAAAATTATATTTTATTTGGATGATACCAATCGTTGCTCATATTATTGCTGTAATTTTGCTAAAATTAGAGTTTAAAGTATAAGAATAATAAGCAACTTGGACTCACAGAGTATATAATTATAAACTATAAAATAGATATTTTGGCCTTTATAAACTGCATTTCTAATAGTTAGAACATCATAAGAATATTAAACTATATTAAGCAGTGGATTAATCATTTTATAATTGATCCCCTCACTCATTTTATTAATCTATGCATTATATAGACCTAATGATAGAACAAGAATACCAGATGAAACACCTAAATTTGCAAAGTAATTGATGAAATCATTAGAAGAATTCAGAATATTTTAATCTGAAAATAATAGTGTTAGAGAATCTATGTTGAATCGAGTAAAAACTAAAAAAGAAAATACTACAATAACAAAATAATTATCATCCGCATTTTCTGATCTCATTTAAAGCAAGAATTAAAATGAATAAGAATAATTCTTAAGAGAAAAAATGCCTGAAAGAAGTGTTAGTATTAGTAAGAAAGTTATCAAACGCTTTGTTAATGATAACGAAATACATTATTCTTATTTGATTGTAACCATTATTGATGGATATACTTTTTAATCAGAAAAACGTTATCCAGAATTTTTAAATATTGAAAGAGTACAAATTGATCATTTTAACAAATATAATGCAAGTTCATTTAAAATACATAGAATAGATTTATAACTGGGTGAAGATGAATTTTCTTATGTCTTAAGAAGAAGAGAATATTTAGAATTATGGTTATAAGATTAATTAGCAAATCCAATCTACATTACTAAAAACTTACTTGATTTTTTGAGTGTTGATGAAGAAATGCAATAACCTTTTATAATATATTAGCAATTGATTTCAAAGACTAAATCTACGATGCGACCTAAAAGTTATTAAAGAAGTTAAGAATATGAATTGTAAGCACTCAGAGTAAATTCTGAAGAAAATTTAGTAGCTTTAGATTATGCAGAACTTTAATTCTCTTCTAGTTGTGTTCAATATGAATATGGTATGTATGGATCTAATTCAATTGAATTTGTAATTAACATCAAATACAAAGAAAAGTAAAGCAATTTATAAACAAATTAGAAATTCAGAACATGTTTATAGGATCTTGAAAACACTCTCATGTATTCGACAATTTAGTGAGTAATTAGAATAATAGACTGGTCGAGCATTACCATCTAATTTGAAAGTTACAAAATAAATTTTAAATCTAACAACAAATGAAAAAATAACTTTTGTTGATGAATTTTTTAAAGAATTATTAGGTAATCAAGAATATTTTTCAAGTTAAACTTTTGATTTTATTGGGTTTGATATTAATAATAGATGTCAGAAAGATTAAAGCTGACCAATTTTTATAATTATTAAATTATTTATTTTAATAATACATAAGTAAAATGAAAGATCTTTGAATTTATTATAATAATCACAATTTTCATGATTAAATTATATATAGATTGGATCTCACAACCATCTAGAGCAGTTAAGGCAGTCTTAGACATCCTCAAAGTTCCTCATGAAGTCAAAGCCTTAAAGATTTAATTTGATGAGCATAAGTCTCCTGAATTTACAGCTATTCATCCATTATAATAATGTAATTAAAGTGAAAAAAATCTTTAGTGCCTTTATTACAAGATGGAGATTTTACTGTGGCAGAGAGTCACAATATAATGAGATACGTCATTAAATAGAAAAATATATAAACTCATTTGTAAATTTCTAAATAGTAATTAGATATCCACTCATAGACATCAAACAATAAACAAGAATAGATCAATATCTTGACTATCATCATACAAATACGAGAAAATGTTTAAACCTGTACCATTCTGTGTTGATATCACCAATTAAAGGAGAAAAGGTATTTCCTGAAATATTGGACAAAGAAAGATAAGATGTGGCAAAAGTATTTTCATTTTTTGAAAGCAGTAATTTATAAAAATTATCTAGACTGGCTAAAAGGTAAGAGTTATATTTGTGGAGATTAATTAACTTTAGCTGATATAAGTGCATGCAGTGAAATGTTGTAATTAGACATGATCAAATTTGATTTCTAAAAATATCCAATTACAAATGCATGGCTTCATCGAGTGATAAGGATTCCTGAAGTTCATTAAGCTCATAATGTGGCTTTCAAAATAATAAAGAAATATAATCCAAGTTCCGAATTCTTGAAATGAATAAAAATAATATATCAATGAGTATATGAAATTTAAAATAGTATTCATTTTTACATCAAATATAATTAAAGTTTGTTATTGTATTTTTATCAAAAAATGAGCAACAATATATTGTATTGTTTGATACTTTTTCATCTTTTTGAAAATTGCTTGAAAGGTCTTGCATAGTTTAAATGCTTAATCAAAAATCTCTTTTAAACTCTCTTATGTTAAAGCTGAGCATTCTAAATATTGGGATTGTAAATTATCAATTTTAGATTTCGTCTAATAAGTTAATAAAATCGAGCGTTACAGTTTTATATTAAATGTGGTTTTGCTTTTCTGAATTTCTCATATCTATTTTATTTCCCACAAATATTTTAGGTACAGACTTTTATTCTGAATACCATTTATGGCATTTTCAAAATTTGATTCTTCAATAACAGACAGATGAGACAACTAAAAAGACATCAGCAGAATTATATGATAGTTTTCTCAATCCATTATATGATTCTAATCTTAAATTTTCCTAAAAACTCAAATAAATCATATTTTTATCAACAGTTATTTATATATTGCAATATTCATGAACAGGGATGTAATCTANTACTGTGGCAGAGAGTCACAATATAATGAGATACGTCATTAAATAGAAAAATATATAAACTCATTTGTAAATTTCTAAATAGTAATTAGATATCCACTCATAGACATCAAACAATAAACAAGAATAGATCAATATCTTGACTATCATCATACAAATACGAGAAAATGTTTAAACCTGTACCATTCTGTGTTGATATCACCAATTAAAGGAGAAAAGGTATTTCCTGAAATATTGGACAAAGAAAGATAAGATGTGGCAAAAGTATTTTCATTTTTTGAAAGCAGTAATTTATAAAAATTATCTAGACTGGCTAAAAGGTAAGAGTTATATTTGTGGAGATTAATTAACTTTAGCTGATATAAGTGCATGCAGTGAAATGTTGTAATTAGACATGATCAAATTTGATTTCTAAAAATATCCAATTACAAATGCATGGCTTCATCGAGTGATAAGGATTCCTGAAGTTCATTAAGCTCATAATGTGGCTTTCAAAATAATAAAGAAATATAATCCAAGTTCCGAATTCTTGAAATGAATAAAAATAATATATCAATGAGTATATGAAATTTAAAATAGTATTCATTTTTACATCAAATATAATTAAAGTTTGTTATTGTATTTTTATCAAAAAATGAGCAACAATATATTGTATTGTTTGATACTTTTTCATCTTTTTGAAAATTGCTTGAAAGGTCTTGCATAGTTTAAATGCTTAATCAAAAATCTCTTTTAAACTCTCTTATGTTAAAGCTGAGCATTCTAAATATTGGGATTGTAAATTATCAATTTTAGATTTCGTCTAATAAGTTAATAAAATCGAGCGTTACAGTTTTATATTAAATGTGGTTTTGCTTTTCTGAATTTCTCATATCTATTTTATTTCCCACAAATATTTTAGGTACAGACTTTTATTCTGAATACCATTTATGGCATTTTCAAAATTTGATTCTTCAATAACAGACAGATGAGACAACTAAAAAGACATCAGCAGAATTATATGATAGTTTTCTCAATCCATTATATGATTCTAATCTTAAATTTTCCTAAAAACTCAAATAAATCATATTTTTATCAACAGTTATTTATATATTGCAATATTCATGAACAGGGATGTAATCTACAGTATAATTTATCTGTAAAATAGCTATAATTTTGAATAGAAATACCTTATAAGTATACAAGTCTTGCCTACCTTCCTATCATCGACAAGAATAAGTTTGATTGTAATAGGATTTAATTCTGAAATGACAAAAAATAGTTTATTTAATTATTGGAAGTAGAAAGAATATTTTAATGTAATTTAATAATGAAATGATTTACTTTTATTGAATGAATAATATCAAAATGCTCCTTTGAGTTAAGATTTAACATAATCTGTAAATCTTGGTTGGTTCAATAAATCTAAAGCTTAATGGGCAGCATTTAATTCTTTGTTGTATTCAGCAACGGTGGCATTATAGACATCAGTACAGAAAGCATAGTCATCATTTTCTGCTTATAATTATCCATTCAAAGTGTCTAAATCAGCATGTAATTCATCAATTAAATCAAGGGTTTAGTCAATCTTGTCTATAAATTATTATTATTAATAATCTACTAGCATTAGCTTCAATTTCAGCTGTCTTAACTACAACAGCTCTTTAAAATTCAGCATGTTCTTAATTTAATTAAATGACTCTAGCCTCAAAGTCTTTTTAAGCTTCAGCTTCATCAGCTGTAAGTTAATTTAAGGAATCAACTAATTAAACTCTCAAATTGTTGAAGGCAGTCAAAATCTATGAAGAAAATTATATTATAAATATATACTTCTTTAAGAGCACCTTAATCAGCAAAGTTAGCTTCAACAGCAATTTCCAAAAGTGTCTTAATGAAGGTTTAGAATGTGCTATGTCTTTTAAGTGATTATTAGATTTTTGTTAAATTCTTTTAAACCTTTTAGATTTAGACAAGGGATGGTGATTCCAATTAGCTAAGTAATTATAATGATTCATCAATAGCACTGATAGCTTCATTATGTTCAGCAACTTTAGCTTCAAATTCAGCATGATCATTAGCTCTTTAAACTGTTGCCTCATTAAGTGTCTTTCTGTTATAAAAAATGTTTTCTTATAATTATTCAAGTTGAGCAGCAAATCTATCTCTTTATGGGATCAAAACGTTATCATAGAAATCGTGGGCATTGAAGACCTCTAAAAAGAATCTTAAAAATAAACTAAATACCTCTTTCTTTGTCTTAGATTTCTTATGAAAGTCTGCTTACTTCTCTATTGTGAACGTCTGTTCTTCTTGCAAATTAATGATGGACTTCTGCTAATTCTTCATCCAATTCACCAATCTAAACAAAATTATTAAAATATTAATTACAAGTTTAGCAATTTCAGTGTTTAATTCTGCAAGGATACCTCCTGTTGTTAAATGGAGTTCACCAAAGTTCAAAATGAAATTACCCCAACCAGATTATTTAATTTAAGCAAAAGCTTTTTGGTCATGGCTTGTCCAAACTGAGTTTGTGACATCTATTGCTGTTACGCTAAGGATAAGCAATGTGCAGACTGCTAATTTATACATATATTGTAATTAATAATGAAGCCAACACCAGATAATTAAGTGTTAAAAATTCCAAAAACGAATTTTATTTTTATATATTATTAATTAATAATATCATACTAACAAACCATCTCATCATAAAATAATATTAATATAATTTAAATATATATATAAAGTCAGAGAAGATGTATCTTTTCGATTAAAAGACTCTAGTTGTACTAGTTTATGTACATAATGCTCTGTAGATTTTTATTAAGACCAATCTCTTTCGCTTATGTTTTTTTCAATTCTGAGAACTAATTAACTTATAATTAACCAGCATTACCAATCCAATTAATTCAAGTCCATTATTGTTGATATAACTTCCGAATCCCATTATCAAACCTTTCTAAAATTATCCTCTATAGTAGCTTCCATCACTCCAATAAAAGATTCCTTCACCTGAAAATTTGTTATTTTCAAATGATCCCTCGTATCTACAATTAAATATAAGACAATTAAAACTTGCATCCATCTAGGAACACTTGCATTCCTTTGCCCTATTTCTTGCCGTTATAAAACTATCCAAAAAATCTTGTTCCATCAGTTTTAATTTCTTATCCTTCACCTTCTAGCAAGTTGTTAATCCAAATTCCTAAATTTAAGAATTTACATTACCTTTAACAATTTTTTTATCAGATTTAAACATACCAAAACCATTTGTACGCCCACTTTAGAACTAAGCTTCAAAACTATGTTATTTACAAATAAATTACATATCCCCATTTCTATAATGCATTGTACAAACTCCTTCAAGTAAATCATATTACCATGTTCTAAAAAATATATAAATTATTTATTACCCAATCAATAAATTTCCAGACTAAGGCCACACTTAAATGCCATTACCATGTTTTAATCCTGATACTAATATGCCAAAGTAAACACTTTCATCATTTTATTTAGAAAGCTGAAAGTCTGGGTTGGGTTTGAAATTTTCTAATTTTTATTTAATGTGTGCTGGCAATTCCCACACAAATTCGATTAATCGAGAATCTAAAGCTGGACTACTCTATTTGGAATTGTCATCATCAGCTAATCATATATTTAGATATTAATACTTTCGCTTAATGAGATGGAAGCAAATTTATGAATGAAATATTCTTATGATATCGATTAATTCATTTATATTTTATTATTGAGATATAATTATTAATGAAAAAAGCTAAAACATACTCTTAAATTAATTTAATTAAAATTAGTATTAGAATACGAAGGAAATGTCACTTTAAAGGCTTTTTAAAAAATTATTATATTTGGATATTTACTTATAACAATTATTTATGGTCATGAAAGTTTGATGTTGACAGTTATGCTTTTTTTACATGTTTTAATTTTATCCCCAAGAACAAATTGCTGCTCCAAATGACTATACTTATCCAATAAAATACATGATTTCAATAGTAATGTCATTTATTTTGACCACTTTTTAACAAACATTTTTAAAGACTTAGAACAAAGCCTCGTCCCTCAATTATCACTAAAAACTAAGTATTTTAAACTAATAATTCCTTACCCAATGAAAATTGTGCTTAAACTGAAACTTTTCTCTTTTACTTTCTCTAAACTTATAATGATGGTATATTTATTTTAAAATCTATTTAAGAGATATTGTTGTTATTCTGATTGCTATTTTAATGACTCTAAAAATTATGTTAAGTAGAATTTATTTTAGTTGCCCATTATTGTAGTGATTATCATCTTTCCTTTGGTCTTCGAATTACAATTTGCCTTCCTGGTTAACTTTCTATTATAATGTCTATTTTATATTTCAAGAATATTCAATTAATAATATATATATGAATATTGTCGAGTATAGAAAACATCGCAACGAAAATCAAATCAGAATATGTTGTTGTAAAAGAAGAGCTCCTTGGGAATTACAACCTGACAAAAAAGTATAATAATTTTTAAATTCTCAGATTCTGATTGGTACTGCTGATAAAAATATTCCCAATAATAGAGTAGAAACTTCTAAATATAATATGCTTACATTCTTACCAAAAAACTCATTAGAATAATTTAGCAAAGCATCCAATTTGTATTTCTTACTTTTAGGCTTTTTGTAAACATTTTGAATTCATTTTAGTTAAATCTTACCACAAGTCACAACTACAGATGGACAACCCACTGTATATTTACCTTTATCTTTCATCATTATGGTCAGCATGATTAAAGATTTTTTTGAAGACTTCAAAAGGTAATTCAATCATCACCATTAGACACCGAGCAGATGATGAAGAAAATAATCGAACTGTATAAAAATACTCACTTCGAACTGGAGTTTTCGAATATGAAAAGTGGCAAAATGTTTATGTTGGAGAAATTATACGAATTGCTAATAAATAAGTTTGATTTTTATTTAAGAATAGAGAATTCCTGCTGACATTATTATATTGGCAACTTCTAAAGGAGGTGAATGTTTTGTAGAAACTAAAAATCTTGATGGAGAAACTAACCTTAAACCGAAATATGCACATCCACAATTATAATCCTTATATAGATAATTGAATGAAAAAGAATTACCTTATAATCTGTAACATTTACAATAAATACTATTAGATTTGTAACAATGGATTTTGAACGATAAAATCCACTTATGTATAAATTTAAGGGTAGTTTTAATATTGTAAATGAAAATAAAGAATTACCAAAAGAAGCATTGAATTATGAAAATTTTTTAGAAAGAGGATGCTCTCTATAAAATACTGATTGGATTTTGGCAGTTACTGTTTATACAGGACATGATACAAAGATTATGATGAATTCTATAATAGGAAAAATGAAATATAGTACTGTTGAGATATTAATGAGCAAATAAATTTTATGGGTATTCTTATTTTTGTTGTTTGAATGTATTTTTGCATCAACATACTATAATGTGTGGTACTAGAGAAATGTAAATGAATTACAATCTTACTTAAATATCGATTAAAATGTTTCAGAAAATAATACTTTTTACAATTTTGTTTTAAGATTTGCAATGTGGTTTTTATTGCTTGGTAATAGTGTTCCAATCTCATTATTGGTAACTTTAGAGACAGTAAAATTCTTTTAAGCATAAATGATTTAATGGGATAAGAATTATTTCACATTGGATCGAGCAGCTGCTGTTCATTCTTCTAATTTAAGCGAAGAATTAGGAGTTATTGAATATATATTCAGCGATAAAACAGGAACATTGACATAAAATATAATGAAATTTAAATCATTAATAATTGATAATGTAGTTTATGGGGATATATATGAATAATAAGCTTAATAAGAAATAATAGATGAAAAACCATTAAAAGAAAAATAAAGAATTGTTTCTTAAAATGTAGATTTTACAGATGATGAATTATGTTCTGAATTGAGAACTCAATTTATGAATAGAAAATCTGCAAAGCATTTTTCAAATAATGATCATATATTTTTAAGTTTATTATGTCTATCATTATGTCATACAATATAGACAGAATTAATAGAGAATATAGAATCTGATATTTAATATAATGCAAGCTCTCCAGATGAGTTGGCATTGGTGAGTTTTGCAGCCGAAATGGGTTTTAAATATATTGGAAAGGAAGAAAATGTAATGAAAGTATACATAAAACACAGTAAGGAAACTTTAAAGTTTTAAATTTAATAGATTATTGAATTTAATAGCACAAGAAAGAGAATGTCAATAGTATTAAAAGATTAAAATGGTAGACTAACATTATTTTGTAAAGGAGCAGATAATGTGATTTTATCAATGTTATAAGATTTTGATGAAAATGATACTGTTTAAAAAGATATTTTATTTGAGATAAAAAAATAACTGTAAGAGTATGCGACAATAGGATTAAGAACTTTAGTATTAGGATACAAGGAATTGGAACAATAAGAATATGAAAATTTTTTATCTGAATATAACAGAGCATAAGCTATATTGGATGATGATTAATTAAGAGAATCTTTAATGAATTAATTGGAAGAAATGATAGAAAATAATTTATAATTATTATGTGCAACAGCTATAGAAGATAAATTATAAGATAAAGTAGGAGAAGTAATAGCTGATTTGAAATCTGCTGGAATAAATGTTTGGGTATTAACAGGAGATAAGATAGAGACAGCAATTAATATTGGTTTTTCATGTAAATTGTTAACAGATTAAGTTAAAAGATTTATAATAGATGGGGATATAGAAGGATAGGTGGAAAGATAATTGGGAAAGGTTACAAATTATATTAATGATCATCCTGAAGAGCCTTTGTCATTAATAGTATCGGGAGTAGCACTTGTTATAATAATTCATAATTTTAAAGAAGCATTTTTTAAGGTTGCTTTAAAAGCAAATGCTGTTATGGCTTGTAGAGTATCTCCAAAACAAAAATAAGAGATTGTAAATTTGGTTCGAAGATTAACAGGTAAAATTACATTAGCTATTGGGGATGGTGCAAATGATGTTGCTATGATCACATAAGCTCATGTTGGGATTGGTATTAGAGGTTTAGAAGGATAGTAGGCATCTAAGGCTAGTGATTATGCTATTGGAGAATTTAAACATTTAAGACGATTATTGTTTTATTCTGGACATGAATCATATAGGAAGAATAGCAATTTAATTCTATTTAACTTTTACAAGAATCAATTATATATAGGAGCTTTCTTCTTTTTTGGTTTTTCTAATGGTTTTAGTGGTCAGAATCTCTATGATTAATGGTTGTCTTAAATCTTTAATGTATTTTTTACTAGTTTACCAATCATTTTATATGCTCTTTTTGATGAAAAATATCCCAATTCAAATTACATACAATTAGTTTAAGATAAAGCTAACTTCTTAGAATCTAGACCTGATATATATAGAGAGTATTTGACAAAACCTATATTCAATTTAGTATCTTTTTGGAGATAATTCCTTTCTGGATTATCATAGGCAATAATGTTGATGATAATTTCATTTTATGCATTTGAACCTATTTCACCTCATAATCATGGATAGAATTCTACTTATTTAGAAGCTGGAATGACAATAATGAGTGTTGTTGTTATTATTGTCAATTTTAAAGTTTTACTCATGCATAATACAGTAATTATTATATATTAAATTTGTAGAATTATCCTATTATAATTTATATCAATCTTGGGTCAACAATATGTTTTATATTATTCTTTTTACTTTTCTCATAATACCCATTTTTCGAAAGCTTTGATCTCTTTCAACGTTTATATGAGTGCTTTAATTATTATATGGCTACGATATTAATGTTGACTGTTACAAACTTCTTTGATTTAGCAATATTAAGATACAAATACTTTGTTGATTAGTATAAAGAGAATTAGTCAAACAATCCACCAACTTAATTAGAAATTGAAATGTGATATATATAATAATTATAATTTAATGGATGATCATCAAAGTAGTGATTCTAGTAGTGATGAATTTTATCAATAAATTAAAGCTTAAGTATCAAACAATTATATATCAAGCTTAATAACATGGAAGATGAAGAAAAGAGTTCAAGAATTCTTAGTAAACATGAAATCTTACCCAAAATACAATTTGCACCTCCAGAAACTAAAGAACAAAGAGAAATTAATTTCAATTATAAACATTCAGACCAAATTCAATTGATTGGCAAAATTGAAGCAATCACCAAAGAAAATATTATTATCTATTCAAATCTTTTAGAATTTGTCATTAATCTTGATCAATTATTAGTTAATAGCAAATAAGAAATCTTAGGAAAGGTTGATGATGTCTTTGGCAAAGTAGAAAGACCTCATTATTCTATTCTATTGGATGGATATGTTAACAACCTAATTCAGAATTAATAATTACAAATTGGAGATGATGTATATATTAACATAGAAAATACTTCTGTTCTTAATCCAGAAGCAATTAGATAATTGCTTAAGTAAATTCTTATTTTATCTATAGTAAAAAAGGTTGTGATGCATCCAATCAATTCGATGAAGAAGTACTTAATGAATGTGATGTTGAATTTTCTGATGATGAAATGGAAGCCATCTCTAAAAAAAAGGGAAATAAAGAAGAAGGAGAAATCAAGAAAAATAACAAGAAAAAAGAAAAACTACATTAATAATAAAAACCAGAAAAGCTACAACCTAATAATTATTAAAATAATAAAGTCTAATTTAATAATCAATAATAATAATAACAATAATAATAATTATAATAATAATAATAGCAACATCATTCAATGATCTAAATGTAGTAATCAATGTAATAATAGTAATACTATCAATAAATGTTTCTATAACAATAAATGTAGTTGTAAATGTAATAGTAATAATAATATTAATAATTGATTTAAAATTAGCAACCTTTTTAATAGCAATAATTACAGTAGCCTCAATATATGCAACAAATATATTCTTAACCCTCACAAATATCCCAAAACCCTCAATTCATTCTACCTTACAATTAATCATAAATAAACTAATAATTAAATCAAAATTTGAATTCCCTTTTTTAAAATATTAAACCCTAAGATTAATGAATTAATATTGTATATATTTTATTTTATCATCATTAAATTCAAAATATTTCACAAAAATCAATATTTTAATTTTATATAAATCATAAATAAATATATGCACAAATATTTATTCACTTTTCAAAGTATACTTTTAAGAGATATTCAGTAGTTTATTAGCGTCATAACAAATTTTTCTAAGATGTCTTTAAAAGTAGATTACTGCATTTGAAAATATTTCTAATATTTTTTATCTCTACGCTTTAAAATAATAATAAATCTATGCAATTTAGAATAGCGTAGGTCATAGCAGTGGATATAACTTATCTTAGAATTTCGAATAACATTTCTTTTTAATGATGATCTTCCATAAGCATTTGAAAATGTTATTTTTTACGAAGAACTATTTCTAAAAGTTTCAAAATCTCAATCCATACATCTATTGAAGTTATTTAAAAAAATTTAATTAAATCCTCACTAATAAATTTAAGTATATGTCATTTTCTTCAAATATCAATCGCATTAATTTAATAGATTGAACCATATTTTTTTTGTGTCTATATAAATTGCTTCTGAAGTATTATTTGGTTTAAAAATAGTTTAATTTTTAGGATTCTGTAAAATTTTAGATTTATGTATAATTATTAGCTGTAGATAATAACTATTGTATTCAAATTAATAAAAGTGTAAGAGTTTAGAAATAAAAATGACTAATAATATATTAAATTTTCTAATAAAAAATGTATTGCTTTTCGTTAAGTCATCTATATTGTTACCTTTTAATTATAAGTATTAATCTATAACATGAAAATGCACATAACAATAATTTAGTCATAATATAAAATAAATTATTGGTAATCTAATTTAGCATTAGCAATACAAACATTAAATCTGTGTTTACAATTTAGTCATAGTAAACTGTAGAAATTGCATTTTAGATCAAATAATATATGTCAAGCAATAATTATTTACCGCAAAAAGTATAAGAATTTAGTTATTTGAGAAAATGAAATATACACTTCCAAGGTTTTCTATTTTCAGAATTAGCAAAATTGAATGTTTTCCAATCAAATTGGTTAGCTTATGGATATTTTTAGATTAGATATGGAATAATCCGAATTTATATCTATGTAGTATTATTTCTACATTAGATTAACTCTTCACAATATATTAAAAATACTAGCTTTAGAAATGGAAAGCTATATCTGCAGAACTTAAAAAAATAAGCATCAATTCTCAATAAAGTTTTCTATGTTCTTCAAGTAAATTATCACTAATTATGTTTAAATATTAGGTTAAACTTTCTTTTTAGATTTGATCAGAGAAGCTATGCTTAATTACTAGGGGTTTAATGAACAAATTACACATTAAGTTTAAACATAAATTAAGATCTAAATAAGTGTGTTAGAGTGTTTTTCTAAATATAATAGCATTTTTAAAAATTATTTTATAAATTTAATTTCTTTCCAGACCTTATAAAAATAAAAATTCTAAAATTCTAAAATCTATCAAAATTGCATAATCAATCAATAACTCTCTGTATGATCTATAATATAATCGCTATATTTTGCACTTAACTATTACACTAATTAGATGAGTTTTTATATGTTTTAATCATCTGGGTTTTAAAGAATTAACTAAATTTGCTTTTCTATATGATCTTTGTATTTAAGTTCAAAATCTATTAAATTACTATATTCATTTATAAGAAGGTTTTTATCAAATCTGTTTTTGCTAAATTCTTTGTTCTAAATTTTATTTACGAATTTCAGTTCTAAATTATTCACTTCTTTTGACAAGAATTTCATTCATTAATAATAAAATTCTTAATAAAATAAAAGATCAAGAAAAATTCAATTATAACATAAAAATTAGTTAATATGGATTACAAGTTTAGACAACATTCTAAATTATTTTGCTTTTCTTATAAAAATCTGAAAATTGTGGAGCTCAATTTAATATAATTATTTAAGTTGATAATTGATGATTTTAGGATTAGATATAGTTTTAAAAGCCTTTTAAAATGTCTTATTCAATAAAATAAATATTGAATTATTTCAATATAAATAAAATATAATTGAATTGTTAAAATACATAAAGAATGTAATATGAAATCAAAATAATGGGTTATGAAACAACAGGAGATAATGTCTTATATAAAATTCGTATAATAGATCTTATGACGCTGGATTAAAGAGATATTCGAGTTAGATATAGTTTCTTACTTGAACTTCATAATGCTTTGCAGGAATACAATATAAATTATTAAGTATTTATTAATTAAACATAGCTTCCTCAATTTCCTAAAAAAGATGTTTTAAAGGGATGGTTTGAAGAAAAAATATTGATAAAGTAACGCGAATAAATGATAGGGGAATATTTTTAATAACTTCTTAAATCACCTCCTCCTAATCAAAAATTATTACTTGATTTTCTTAGAGAAGGAGTTGACACTATCAGACAATAAGAATTATAAAAAGATGTAAGTTCAAAATCTGAAATTTTGAAATATCTCAAAAAAGAAAGAGTATTAAAGAAAACATTATTTGGTAAAACTACCTTATATAGTAATAATGGTAAGAAAATAATTTTGCATAAATTTTATGTTATGAAACATTAATGTGATTCTCTCTTTCAATCATATATGAAAGCACATCTAAATATTCTAGATTATACATTATTTACATAAGTGAATTCCATATTCTATATAAGACCTAAAGGAAATTTTGTTGATAATATACTTGGTTAAATTAGGTAACCAAAAATAAGTAAGAAATCCAACATTTTTAGTAATTTCTATTAATAAAATTACAGAGGAGAAGCTGTAAAGATTTTCTCTTTTGAAGAATTTGGAGGATAGAATTTAGATGATGTCATTAAAGATCGAAAAAATATAAATAAACCATTTAGTTTAGATGAACTTTTAAATATTATTTAAAAGATTTTATTAGCATTTATGCAATTACATAAACGCAATATATTTCCGAATAGAATTTTTTGTACATCAATAATTATAAAAAATGACAGTATCAAATTAGCAGGGATACAAGAACCTAATGAAAAATATAAGGAAAAATATCTTTTAGAAGGACATGCTGTTGGAAAAGAATAAGAAGATGATATTGTTTATTATCCTCCTGAGAAATTGAGTTAATATTTTTAATAATAATAATAAAATGGAAAATTAATAGATAGTTGGCATTTTGGAGTTTGTATTTTGAAGGCAGCTTTATTATACACAAATAGATAATTGGACGGAATTCATTCATGTACTTAAGTAGATAAATTTGCCAATTAAGTATAACTTATGTATGGGTATTTTAATAAATTTAATATAGGTAAGGGATGTCATAGCATAAATAATTATGTTTAGTCTTAAATAATCCCCTCAAGAAAGAGCAGATATAAGAGAATTATATTTTATGGCTAATTAAACTGCAATTATTAAATTTGAATCAGCTATCTTAAATTAAATAGAAAAAACACAGATGACTTATTTGTATATAAATAAAATCACAGAAGAATAATTTCAAAGTACTTCTCAGTAAATTTAGAAATATCAAATTTTAACAGTCAAAATTAATCTTTATAATTAATAGATAGATTAGGAACAATTTGATAAATTATTTCAATTATTAGGTAATTTTTCTGAAGTGAAGAATATTACAATTATATTAAATAAGTAATATTATTATACTTATAATTAATAGAACACAAAATCTAAATTTTAATAATTTTTATATTGGACTCTAAAAATTAAAATAATTAAAACGTCTAACATTAGATTTGAAGGGAATTAAAATATCAAAAGAAGAAATTGATCATGGAATTTAAATATTCAATTAATTTGATTTAATTGAAAGATTTATCATAGATTGTTCATCTATGGAATTTATTAAAAATTTAAAATCAGAATTGAAATTGAAGAGTAAAATAGCTTTATATTTTGAATCATAATTAATGTGATTTTTTTTCATAACTAATCAGCATGTTATTTAGAAGCATTTGTTAATTATTTTCTATTTTTGATGGAATTCAACATTTAACTAGCTTATCTCATTTAATCCATTATATTACCCATCTTAAAAATATAAATAAATAATACATCAGTAGAAATGCGTTCTATTTTTTTAGATTCTTCTTCTTCATCTTATTTAAGGTCTTATAATTCTCTAGCTTTATTAAATGGAAACCAAGTTAAATCTTTTCTTTATATTTTTTCCCATACAAACTACTCTATTCCAGTATAATCAGTTGGATCTTTATATTTGAGATATGCCATAAAAAAAACATAATTCCACATATAATGATTAACTTTTATATGATGATCAAAGCCACCTCCCATAGATGATGAGTCTGATAATCTATCAAAAATAGTTTTTAAATTTCCACAAATAAAACATTTATCCTCAATATCTCTAACCTTATCACTTTCTTCTTCTCTTAAAGATCCAAAAGTATCAATAATAATTCCTGCCACAATATTAACCATAATAATAACTAAGAAAATATTTGAAGTGTTATCAAATACAAATCTACCAACACGATATTTATCTACAACATTTTCATCTTCTAAATCTGATAGGTATCCTCCTACTCCACCATTAGCTTTAAATGTCCAATCAAATGTAAATAAAAAACAAAATAATGTAGATTAACATTTTCCTTTATAATCTTCGAAAAAGAATGTATATGCTATAAGTCCATATACGTATACAAGAATTATAAATAGAACTAATGTTAGTGCTAATTATTATTTAGGTTCCCATACAGATCTAATAACATTCTTTAATGTTGGATAACGGATCAAAATCTCTGTTAAGTGAAAACTAAAGAAAAAAGGATGCAATACTGTTCCTATAACAGCTAATGTTCCATAGGCTAAATAATATACAACTTCTATTTCTTTGAGAATGTAAAATAGTACTGCCAATAATTTAAATAATTTATAGATCAATTAAATTGGCCAATATGTAAACTTATCTTCAAAAGGTAATTTTGTTTTCCAAGCCTTTTTAATTATTAAAGGAGCATTCTTAAATAAAAAAAAAGCTACAACAAATATAGAACAACAAGCCATAATTGTACCACAAATCAAGAAAATATTTCTTGTTTATTGTGGTGAATATTATTCATCTCTAAATAATCTAAAATCAGTTATTCTATTTCCTTCTTCATTTTAAGCAAATGATCCTATGATAAATAGATTTAACAATAATGTAAATAAGAATGCCAAATCTTTCCATAATTTCACATAATTAGCAAATAGAGCTAAAAACTTTTATCTTTAAAAAATTCTTCTTAATTATTCTTCATGTTCACATATTTCTATTAATCTTTCTGATTCTTAAACTAAAAATTAAACTTTTGATTTTGTAGATGATCTATCTACATTTTCATGAAATTCCTATTTTTATTCTTTAGGCAAATTATGTGTATAAGGTAAGAGTATAAAATAAACAATTTCAATTTCATTATTTCTAATTACTTCAATAGAAGCACTATTTTTATAAAAAAAATCAAAAGCTTTCTTTACTAATTTAATTTTTTCAGCTTTTTTTTCTCTTTCTTATTTATCTAATTATTCTTATGTCAAATTTTAACCAGCCATCTATTTTTAAGCTTCTTTTTTAATTTAATTCATTAAATCAATCCAACTATTTACAAATGACATTACAAAACTGACTAATTATCCTACAATATTATCTCCAAATAATAGATCTTCTAATGTTCCTTTATCTTATTTTAACTTTTTTCTTGTATTAGCTCTATACATCTAAACAAATTAATTTTCAACATTCCTCTCTGATTGCATGTAATAACTCATTAAAAAGTAGATATAAAAACCTTTTTATAAAATTAATTCATAATATTTTTCTTCCTTTGCCTTTTCATCTTATTTAACAGATTCTGGATCTTCTTTTATTCTATCTAAAACCTCTATTTAATAACCTTCTTTACATTATTTTTCATATTTATCAAAACATTTGACCATATGTTTTTATAATAAACTTGGTGTTAAATGTCTCATAATTCTTTTAATAATTGGATTTGAATCTGATATTTCTCTCATTTCAATCAAAGATAATATTAAAATTAAACATTTTGTTTGCATTCTTTCAATTTACCAAACTTTTAATTCTGATCCCTTTTATTATTTTTAATATCTTGAAGTTTTAAAAGTCATCATTTTACTACTTTATGTTTTTGAAGTTTTTATGTTAGATGCCATAGTTTAAGCTTTATTTGCTGCATCCTTATCTTTTCTTGATCCAAATAGATCTGAAGCTATTTCAAAGAATTTAGAATCTGCAACTGCTATTTAATTTTCAGGACAAGGACCTTAGACTAATTCATTTAATGTATCTAAACATAATACCATATTTTCATATTATGCTTTATCTTTATAATAATATGTTAATAGTAATTCAGCTACTTAATTAATCATATTATATGAATTTCTTGAGTTTGTTTGTAAACGAATATAATTCTATAAATCTAAATAATGACCTTCACAACAATTCTATAAAAATCTTAGAACTTGTGTTAATAATAATTCTAATTCTTATTACTATTTTAATTCTTATATATTATTATCTTCTGATTATTAAACTGGATTCATTTATTATTGCTCTTCAGCCTTTTTATCTTTAGCCTTCATGGTAATTTATTTTATTTAAGCTTAAATTACATTATTTAATCTATTAAATATAACCTCACTTTTTGGATATGTTTTCATAAATTCAAAAATAGTTCTTTAAACTTTATTATTACCCCCTGATAATAGAGTATTAATAAACATCAAGAAATTCCTTAACATTTCACTATCAAGATTGATTGATTCACTTAAAACAGTTAATACCATTCTAGTTGCTCCTAATTTATTAAATAAAGTTTGCATTTCTTCCATTTCATCATTTTCATCCTCAGCTTTAACTTCTTCTTTATTTTCTTCTTTTGGTTTTCCTTCAATAACTTTTCTTAAAACTCCTAAAAGTGTAATAATTGATTTATTATTTTAGTTATTATTAATTGCATAACTTAAAAACTTAATCAATTTCTTTAATAATAAAGTTTATTCAACTTTTAATATTTTTTCATTCTTATCATTTTTATCACTTGGATTCCCAAAATACTATTCAAATTTAACAATTGCTTCTGATAACTTTTGAATTTCTTCTTAAATATGAGTTTTACTTTTTTCACTTAAACATAAATGATTAACAAACTCTTCCCAAGCAAAAGATATTTTTTCTATTTCCCCTTATTCAACTTCAACTTCAATTATAGATTCTTCTTTTTATTTTTTATTAGAAGAAAGTGCTGACATTATTCCTATCTTTGATTTAACAGCATTGCTTTAAAATATTGTTTTAGGTGCATGAATATCTCCAGCATTTTATTAAATTCCATTTTATTCTTAAATCATTTATTCATTAGGATCTGTTTAATAAATATCATTAGCTCCAGCTTATATATTTGATAACATATCTCTTAAACTATTAAATTCTCCTAAATCTTCTATCTATTTTTATTAACTTTAAACAGATGCAGATGAACAACATTTTCCCATATTTGTTAATGGAAAATATTTATAAAATTCAATCAAACTAACAACATGCTTTTTTCTTGTTATATACTTTCCAAAATTTAATATTTTAGATGATAGAATTTTAGCAAATTGTTATAAAGCAGCAATATCTTTTTATTCTTAATCATTTCCATCATCATCATCATCCTAATGAATCAATTATTGTTTTTTAATTAAATAATTTGTAAATAATGGTAAAATAGCATCTATTAAAAAATCAAAATATCTCACTAAAAAGCTTTCAAATGTAATATGTTCTAATCTTTTCATTTCAAATTCTATAACTTTAAGTATATCATTTTGAATCTCTTTTCCAACATTATGACTTTTCTCACTTATAATATGTACATGCATAAAAAATATCCATAATTATTTTTTTATTAATCCAAATCCTTACTCTTACATAGATGGATTTCTATTTGTAAAAGAATCTGTTTTACATAATAATTACATAATATATTAAACAGTAAATTTCTTTTTTAATTTAGCAATATTTATTGTAAAATTATCCTTTTAATCACCTTCAATAACTTGTATCTAAGTACATTATAATAATAAATCTAGTAACTTTGAATGATAAAGAAATGGTTAATTCATAGGAGGACTAGATCCTAAATCTGATAGTAAATCTGAATGTTATAATTATATATCCCCATCAAATATAAATTCATTCTTCTCTGTAAATAACAATTCTTCTTTTTCTAAAAATGTATTTAATACAAGTAATTAATTATCAAATATATATTTATTTCCTTATTTTATAATTGTTAAAAAAAAGTCTAAGAACTATGCTTTTCTTCCACTTTAATAAATTAATTCTACAAATCTATGAAAAACTCTATCATTTCTATTTATTGATGTCAAAAGTTTTTGGTTATCTTTATATATTTCACAAATCAAAGGAATTTATCCTACTTCTAAATGCATATTTTCAAAATAATTGATATATTATGATAACAATATTTAATTTTCATGATTATTTTTACAGAAATTAGTTAAAAATTAAAATGCATAAATAAATAATTAAGCTAGTCTTTGTTTTCTTTAGATATCTTTTAAATTATCAAGATGAAAATCCAATGATTATAATTAATCTCGAATCAAATTCAAAATAGGAACATAAATTTTTAAAGCATTCATTAAATTTTATTTCTCTTAATCTATCTCTTAAGTTCCTGATATTATTTTTGAGGATATTTAAGTATCCTTGAAAAATCCTTATCTAAAATTATCTATAATATCTAAAGTTTCCTCTAAATCATTCTTTTTAATATTTTTGAGATATTCAGCTAACCATACTTCAGATCTATCAATTAATTGATTTAATCTTAAGACTTTATCACTTAGAAATTCATATAACCTACTTTTTGCTGGATCACTTACAAGTTATAACTTTAATAAATTATTACAAAGTTCCTCTCTATAATTAAATAATCTCATAATTATTGCCAAACATCTTTTTTCTAATTCTTCTTCATGAATTTACGAAAAGTTTATTAATAAAAAAGGTAACACAACTCCAATCGGATTTGATATTTTACTTATATCTTCCTAAGGTAAATTTAATGAAAAGTATTAATCTAAATCATATATTAACATCTAATTCTATGTAAATACTTTAAACTCTTCAGATTCTGGTTTAGTTTCAGCTAATTTATTTAAGAAATTTAATGCTCCAATTCCAAATGCATCTTATTTCTCTTCTTTTTCATCTACATCTTTTAAACCTGTTTTAGCTATATTTGGTAATAATCCTAATAAATTTGAATCTGTCTTTCTTTAAACAAATAATTAAATCTTTTAAAATTTGAAATCTTCCTCTGTTAATCCAGCCAATAATTCTTCTTTTTCTTTTGGTAATTTTATTTATTGAATGGCTTCTTAGATTTTATCAATAATTTATTTTTTAAAAAAAGCTAAACTATTTAACATTAAATAATTTTATCTCATATCTAAAAATCTATCCATTATATCACATAAAGTCAATTTAATTTTAATTTCCAAAGAACTTGATCCAGTTTCTTCTCTTGTTTTTAGTGAACTCTAAAGTTCATTTTCTAATTTAATAAATCCTCTCATCAAAGGATTAGTATACATCTAAACATCATCTACAATACCTTCATCAACCTATTCTTCCTCTTCAGATTCTGATTTTTATTCTTCATCTGATCCAAATATATTCAAATTTAAATTCATTGGATTTGCCATACTTATTAAATTAGCTCCTAAATTTAAACCTATTCCTAAAGGATTTACTTCCTTCCTTTATTTTCTTTAAGTTATTTCTTATTTTTGAACTTTGTATACACTTCTCATTAATGATAATTAATTAAAATCATAAAAGAAGTAATGAATAACAATATCTATTATCTACTTATAATAAAAATTTGATTCTTTATCTAAAAATGTAAATACATCTAATTCTAAAACCAATTACATCATTTAACAAGAATTGTATAATAATTCATTTATCAATAAACTCTTTTCATCATTTCCATCCAATGCATCATAATCTTTATTATTGTCTCCACTATCTTTTGGATCAAGCGTTTCAACTATCTATTATTTATTTTCCTATAAATATTTAAATAAATCTTCAATTAAAGATGTATAAACATTCACTTAATGAGCTTCTATTGGTTTATCAATACTCTTATAGAGATTACAATATTTAGGTAATTAGACTCTATTTAGTGGATCATGATCAATATAAAGACTCATTGCAATCTTACATAATGCTGCTTAAAGTACTGCATATGTTTTATTCCCATCATCCTACCAAATATTTTAAAATAGAAAATCTTTACTAAAATACTATTCTAATTCTTATTTCCATAAATGATTTCTTCCATATGATACATCAGCATAAAATTACAATTATTCATTTATAAAATACATTTCTTTAGGATCATTTTATAATTTAAATGGAATCATTAGTTTTCCATCTTTTAATGATATTTTATCTGGATCCTCTTTATCTTTAATCAATTAAATCTTTTTATGATTATGCTTCTTTAATAATTTATAAATGGCTTCTTAATTTTAATTAATTCCTTAACTATTGTATATACACATTTCTCTTAAGAATGTTAAAAAATCTGCCTTATGTGCTTATTCTTCTGTTTCTAATAAATTTAAGAAAAAAATTAGAAAATTGTTTTATATTTTATTATTATGCAACTACAATTTTTCTTCATCAGGCTCAAACAATTATTACTCTTTTGGATTATATTCAATTTTCATATTTGCTGATAACAAATTAAGCAATTCTTAATTATTTCCTATTATTGAGATCATACATTTAATTGCTTCAGGTATATATCTACAATGTTCTAAAAAATGTCCAATTAAATCAAAAGTGTAATTCTCATTTTCTGGATTTTATTTACAAATAGAAGTTAAAAGTGTATAAATAGATTGATTCATATTTATTTTATAAGCAATATAAGCCAAAACTTCATGATCTTTTAATCCTTATTTTTTATTTGTTTATTCTGTATTACTCATTTTTTCTTATTATTATTATATATCTTGCATTTAAATAATCATAAATCTTCTACTCCAAACTATTAAATCATCAGGCTTTAATTGTTAAACTAGTATTTTTATTAATAAATCAATATAATATTATTCCTTTAATAATTTTTATCTGAATGGATTGATAGTTCCATATTTTTATTCAGGAGTTGAATTTATTAATCTATTATTACAAAAATTATTTATATCTTCTATGCATTATTTTGTTGTTTAAATTTTTAATAAATGATCTTTAAGAATTTCTTTATCCTAAACATCATTTTCCCATTTTAATCTTTAAATATCATCAAGATAATTTGTAAGTGTCTTAGCACAACTTAATACAAATGAAATCTCCCAAACATCATTACTACTACTAGCATAGAGTTTAAAAACACTTTGATCAGTTTTATGTAATTCTTGATGAAGAATTGGATATAATCTTTAATTTTTTCCATATTGAATATCAACCCAAAAACTATTATCTTCATTATTGTTAGTACCAGAAGGTACATATTTATCATGACAAATATAAACATAATTACCTCTTTTGACATATTTTTCTTTGACTTTAGAATTTCTTAATTAACTAAAATAAAATAATGTTTAAGGAATTCTTTATTTATCTAATGTAAATTTATCTTTGGTTCCTGATAAATATAATCCAGATGTGAAATGTTTAAATCTATATTTTTTATCAAATACTACAATTCCTCCTTCTTTATAAATTTCAGATTCAATAATCCACATAGAATGAGTATCTCCTGTATATTCATCATAACTTTCTTTAGTTGAACCATTCAATACATTCAACTCGACATTTTCAACTTTTAACCATTCAACTAAATTAAATGATTAAAAATTCTTTTAATCAACAGGTTTACCTTTTCTAGTAGCAGCTACAGTTGTATTAGTTTCAGAATGATGCAACCAAATTACATCACCACATTTTAAAAATCCTGATGTTTCAGGAACATAATCAGAATATACTGAAATTCTCCATTAAGTTTAATTCTCTTCATCTAATGCAGCATTTACTTCTCTTTTTATAATATCCTTATCATTTTTATAGGCCATTAGATCTTCATCACTTTTCTTTTTTCTTTAACTCTTGCCATAATTACCCATCTCTTGAGAAGCATGTAAAAATGTCAATTTATTCATAAAAGATGTTGCTCTTACAATATATACAATATCACTTGCATAAATTACTTATTCTCCTTCTTTCTAATATTTATATGCTGGTAAAATTTTAAATAATGATGAATCACTAGGTAATTCATCCAAAGTTATTTTGTAATTTGAACTTTCTACTCTAGCCTCTTTTTAATGACAAGCTAAAAATTTTGATGATGCTAAATGCAACAATTAAATATGAGATTTATATGAAACCTTATGCGCTTTCGACTAAATTCATTAGAAATATGAATACTTTTTCAAATGTGTCAAGATTATATTTAAACTCTTATAATAACTTCTGAGAGAAACTCTATATTTAATCCTTCGATATCATTGTCTTTTCATCTACTTTCTATTATTTTTAAATGCTTTCTAAAATATTTTGAATAGCTGGTAAACTTTCCTCTTCTTATTCTTCTCCAATTAGTTCCTTTAAAATTTCCTATTTGGTATTATTTGTAAATTTTGGAAATATCTAAAATAATGTGTTATAATATGGTCGACTTTTCATTTTCCCTAACTATTTTGTGTCAACGACATCTATATGATGCTTATTTATATAAATGCTATATTAGTACAAAGTTCTTTAAAAAAACTGCTCGCTTGGCAAAACCATCTGTTGTTATGAAAGAGTGATCATCCTATACATGTGATATTGAAATAACAGATCCATAAGTCAAATAGTTAAGATCCTCTTATTTCATCTAATAATTTATTTAAATTATATCTATTGATTTACTATTTTCAATTATCCTTTTTAACTTATTTCAATTTTAATTTTGACTATATCCATGATGATTATATGAATTATTTGAACTTCATTTATTCTATTACAAGATATTTATAATTATAACAATAAATTTTAGATCAATCCTCTATCCCATCAATTGTAAACATAAAATCATTTCTATAATTTAAAAAAATCAAAATTTTAAACCAAAATTTCTATATATTCTATAAATTATTAAAAATTTAAGTAATATAGAAATTTTATTTTAACTAAAACACAAAATAGTCTATAAATTTATAAAAAATTAAATTTTGAAATCTTCTTAACAATTAATCTAATTTGATCAATATTTTATATTCTATTGAGATATCAACAAATCTAATTTTCTATTAAAAAAATAATTAGAAATCTAATCAAATTATTGCAGAAATAAAATTTATAATAATAATAGTAAGTAGAGAAGATATAAAATTTAATTAGCAAAATAAAAAGTTATTATAAATTTTTGAGAATGATTAAGGAAAATAAATTTAAATTATAAGTGAAGTATTATAATAAAAATGAAAATGCAGAGTATTTTTGAATGTAGATATAATGATATAAATTTTTATTGAAAATGATGATTGAATTTACTATATGGAATGAGTAGATTGACATTTAAATAAATTAAGAGTTGGTAATAGAAAAGAGATGAGGATTAAAAGATATTTTGAAAGGATATATTAAAAAATATGAATTTTAAGTATAAAATGAAGGAATATAAACAAAATTATGAAACCCGTTTTTTAGATAATAAAATTAAATAATGAGAGTAATCATCGCGATTTGCTTATTGGCAGCTGTATTAGCTACAGACACAAATAAATTCGCTGTACTTCTTCAAACAGGTACCAGAGGAAATGATGCAGTCGAATCTGTTTACAATCTCTTGAGAGATCTTAAGACAGAGAATGTTTAAGTCTAAGCTGCTGCAGACAAAAAGAATAACACAGATGAAGGTAATAAAATAATATTAAGTCTTTTTAGAAATCTTTTCTTAAGTCATTAGTGATTTGACAAATGTTGCCACTCTTAACAAATAATAATGGGAAGCACTTGGCGCAGTTAGAGGTGATGTTGAAGCTTAAATCAGAGTATAATTATTTAATAATTTTTAAAGGATGGATATTAATGGTTAGCTTGGGCTGAATCTAGACTTGCTGAAATTGAAAGAAGAAATGCATAACTCTAAGATTAAAGATGTTGGGCCAATGGACTTTTTGTCAGATCCCTTGCTGATCATGCTGATGCCGTAGCAATTGTTTAACTTTTACAACAAGATGTAGCAGGATTCCTTACAAATAATGCTGGAGTTGAACTTGTAGAAAAAGCCTAAACAATAGCTGACAAATTGTCTGCATATAGCCATCTTTTCTAATAAGATGCCCTCTAAAAATTCTAATCCCTTGCTGAAGTTAAGAGAGAAGGAACTACAGGAGAATAAGTCCTTTCTATTTTAGTTGATTTATAAGCTGAATTAGAATCAACTCTTGCCACACTTTAAGAATAAGAAATTCATGCTGCTTTTGCTCTTGCCAAATACGTTTCAGATACAAATGCTGAAGTTGCTTGGTTGAACTCTGAACATGAAAGAAGAACAGGTCTTGTTGAAAAATTAGAAACTGTATCAATTTTGTTTATAATTTAAGTAACTTCCAGCTGTTTTGGCTTAATAAGCTAAAGCTCTTAAATTATGGAAAGACTCATTGAATGCCGTCGCTGGTGCCACTTAAGATTTAGAAGAAAAGAGAGAATTCTATGCTTCTGAAACTGCCAGAAGATAAGGTATTTATTCTATTCAATAATTTTAGAGGAAAATGCTATCATCGATGTTGTCATCCAACTTTTCAAAGATTAAGTTAGATCATTGGCTTCATAAACATCCCTTAACAGACATTGATGCAATTATTCATATAAGAATTTATCTTAATTCATTCTAAAATAATTCAATATTTTTAATTAAAAATACTCACTTAATTTTAGTTTATTTAATTAAGTTCTCTTTTTGCTAAATATTGTTGGATTCATCTTCATCATCACTTTCTAAACTTTCAGTTATTTCATATTATTACATTGAATCTACCTAATCAAACTTTTAATTTAAGAACGGTTAAACTACTTTAAGTCTTTTATATAATAATAAACATTCTAATTTCTCTTTTGTGTCTTCAGATTAATCCAAATCTTATTACTATTAATCTTTTAAAATTAAATCTTGTTTTTTATTTTAAAAATAAAACTAAATTAACAAGTTTTCTTAATTTTCATCTTCCTTTATTTAAAACTTTTATTTTCCCAATAAAAATATTGGTGACACTAACCTTGCTTACTATTTAAACCATAGTTAGCCTTTCTACCAAATATCTAATAAATCTTTCTTGGTATAAAAGGTATCAAAATTATCAGGATGTATAGAGTAATTGCATATTTAACACTTGGGTGATCCTGAAGTACTAAACTCAATTATATGATTTAAATCATCTTTCTTTTCTATCTCACATAATGTACTAAATATAAAATAATATGGTTTTGATGTGATAGTAACCTAATCAAACTTAAAGTATTTTTAAATTTCTAAATCTGATTCCATACTTGATTATTTTTATTGAATTATGTTTTTTATAGGAATTATGATACCTTTATTTACTATCTTATCAGGCGGATGAATATCAAATAATTATATTTAATATTCTTAATTAATTTCTAAATCATTATTTATTTATGGTAGAGTTTAACTATTAAGTAATATATTGAGCATCATTAATTTTTCAGATTTGAAAAAAGGCGCAACATTATTCTTAATAATGTAAAAATTGCATCTTTATGGATAAATATAAATATCATAAGAATCTGTCTCATTAATTTATCTTAAATTTTAAAGTATATACCAAAATAGAAGGGTGAGCAATAATTCCTCAAAAAATATGCTATCAAAATAATTCAAAAATGACTCTGACCCATTTGCTAAGTTTTCAAAAAAATACTTTTGATTAATAAACTGAGGATTTAATATTAATCTTTAGAAAGGTGATGCTATTATTGGAAGTTCCATTTGTTATAATGTAACTAAATCATTCTTTATATCAAGTTTAAATGCAGAAGGTAACTCTATTTTTTACATTTATAAACATCTTGAAATATATTTACAATACAGAGAAAATTTTTCTTAGGTAATTGTAATTAATTCTTCGAGTTTTAATTCTTCTAGTTTAGAATTTAAAACTATTTAAAAATAATTGTTTTTCAGAGTTTTCATAACTAAGTTTTGATTTTAAAAGTTTTCATTCTATTCAAAGGCATTAGTTATTTTATATTTTTAATTTATCATCGATTAAGATAATATACTTTAAGTATATATTATTAATGTTAATCATTATTTGTTTTATAGAAAGAGTTTATTATGATTCATTTAATATTATATTTAAATATTTTTCAATTATTTAATATTTCTTACTATAAATTTTTTAATTCTAAATGTAAAACATTATCTTTAATAAAAACAACTATCACTAATGAAAGAATAAAAATCCTTTCTAAAAATAAAAAAATAAAATAATTTCAAATTATAGAATTATTATAAAGTTATTTTGATTTTAATCAGAATATTCAAAATAGTTTGAAATATTTCTGTGATGCTTAATATAGTCTAATTTTGCTATAAATGACAAATAAAATCCTTCTAAGAAAATGGGGATGTATTAATTGGTTTTATTAGATAATTATTAATGTTAGAGAATGGATTGGTTTTATTTAATAATTATTAATTCTAGAGAATGGAGGCATTTAAATCATTCTAGTTAGGTTTAAGATTAATATTAAGAAATAATGTATTTTTAATGGGATATTTTTAAGTCAGGTCAATAAATAATAAAAATAAATGAAAATAGAATTTTAATCATTAAAATATATGAATATAAGTTCTTGTTGTCAAAAATTGAAAAAGAGATAAATTAATAATAAATTAGAACTATTAGGTTTAGAATTAGCTTATATTTTATTGTATGGCTAGTTTCAATTTTTCAAAAATTATTGAAATAATTTGAGCTGATTTAGATTTATTATTTTTTGAATGTAAGAATCTTCCTTATTGAACGGAAACTTAAAAAATTTTAAAATAGACTAAAATTTAAACTCATCAAATCAATAGTAATTGCTTAGTGTATATTTATCTTTCAAAAAAATTTAAAATATTATTGTAAGTTACTTTAACAATAAATTAAATTAAGGATTTGTAAATAGTAGGTTTGGTTATTATTGTGCTATGAGGAGGGAAAAATAAAGAATAAACTTATCAAATAAAATTACATTAATGATAAAAGAGTAAGGAATTTTTTAAAGGAAACAAATACAACAAATATTAGAATTTTGATTATATATCTACATTAAACATTAATACTAAATGAAGAGTTTAAAAATTTTCATATGAATCTGTGACTAGATAGAAGTGATATTTTGAATGCAATTTATTGCACTTTAAATTAACTTTATTGTTTTCTAATATTTCAATAACTTTGCAAATAAAGATCAATAGGATCTCTATAAATTTATAGCTTATAAATAAAATATAATCTTTAGAACTCTTCATTTTATGAGATTAATGAAGTCCTTAAAAAATAGTTATGCAAATCTCATTTTTATATATGAGTTTATTGAGTATAGAAACATCTATACTATAAATTTTAAAATCTATTGCTCTAATAATAATTAGGATAGAGTTGTGGTGGAAATTCACAGAACTGCAATTATGAATTTATGAATATCTATAAAAAATAAGGATATGATATTTAAATACTTTTTGTAATTAATATAATAAATTAAAGATTATACACAAATTTAAATGGAATGATTTAATGATACAATGATAACTATTAGAGAATTAATAATTTTTGTCATTAAGAAGATCTTCTAGGGAAAGTTATGATATGAAATATATATTTATATATATAATAGATATTCTAATTTTTTCAATCAAAAGAAGAGTAATCATACTCTGCTTTATTATGCATAACTAACTGTTCTCCTACAAAATAAAAGCTGTCAGATTTTGTTTGAAATGGATTATTGATCATTTCTTATCTCTATTTAATAGAATAATTTATTTATATACCATAGCTTCATCAATTTCTGGAATTGTGTAAATATGTTCCCATGTATTGGTTGAATTTGGAATACAAAAGGGGAACTGAAATTCATAGCTTCTTAAGAGATGATCTCCGAAGTAATGTCTTTCAATTATTGTGAAATTTTTAACTGGTTTATTACCAACTGAGAAAGTTAATTATGCTCCCACTGTTTTCAATTCAAAAAATTATGGTCCAAAGTGGTATTTGATTCTCCTAGCTTCATCTTAATATTCTGGTGGGAGATTTTCTAAATAACTTAATATTTGATTATACCTATGGATTCTTCATCTTAATCACGTTCAACTTCAAATAGAGTTTAACCTGAATCCATATCTCTTATTCTAAATTTTAGAAATTAGATATTGTAGATATTTGCATTCACAGGACACAAGAAACTATCATTTACATACTCATATACTCTTGTGTTATTCCATTTAAATTTCTAACATATTCTGTTGTCACTTACTACATTATTTTTATTTATTAAATTATTATTTATAAATCAGAGCTTTGGAATCTCTCTAAGTTATTTTGTCAATGATCTTAATTTTTTTTAGTATTCTTCATTATTTACGGAACTCAACTTAGCACTTTACAATAATTTTTCATAAGGTTTTGGATCAACTAAATCTGATCTTAATGCATTGTCATTGAATTTAAAAGCCTAAATGTTAATTATTAAATTTACTTCAACTAATCCAAGTAAATCAGGTTTTATCAATGTGAAAATGTGTTCTTTTGCATTTAAAATTATTTCTAATTATTCTCCAGTTAAAAATCCACCCTCAAAATATCCAATAGGCCAATCAATAATTCTTTATAATCCATATAAACAACATAAATTAGATAAAACAGATCTAATATTTTCATCTTAGACTCTATAATTAATTTTAAAGAATAATTACTTAATTAATGTATCTAAAAAGGTTTTAAATGTCCAATAATAAGTGTGAGCAATAGAAGCTTCTGTTATTGAAACACCTACATGTTTATTCCATGCTTCTTTAGGGCCAAATTCACCAGCTAATTATGATATATTATATTAATACCTTTTTCCATCATTTTGAGCATCACCTTATTAACATAGAAAGCTGCATGTAATCTCATTAATTTTCTAATAATTTCAGGACATAGGAGCTATTCTTATCGTGTGAAAGTAGCTTTCTATGATAGAGTTGATTGTAAATTATGAAGGTACTCAACATTTTCATTAATAGGTTAATTTTTTTATGCTTTATTACAAGCTTTTAAGAGATATCTTCCAGTTTATAACAATAAGACTGTATTTTCTCCTTCATAGGTACAACTTGGTGAAAATTCTGTTTAAATAGTACAAACACCTGATGATTATAAGAATCCGTGTCCTCCCAAAGATTATCTAATTTTATCTAAACCAAAGTGTGTATTCCATGTATAAACAGCCTTACAACAACATAATAATGCATGTAAATCTCCCATAAGAGAAAAATCATTTTTTTCATTAATTCTTTTAAGATTTTCTGTTAAAATCTCTTTAATTCTTTAACATCCAAAACCTTAAGCATAGCAATCAGCAACTAAAGGAATTAATTTATCTTATTAAGTTTAATAATCAATAATAGGCCTTTCAATAGCATTATTATCTTTAAATTATCTTCTAAAATGAGAATATCTAACTCCAATAGCTAAACCTTATGCTAATGAGACATAAGTATTAAATATGATTGAAGTTCTAACTTACATCATAGTAGCATATCCAATTTTCTCATTTTAAGCTTTGATAAATTCTCCTGCTTTACTTACTTTAGAATATCTCATAAGCATTTATTCTCTAGGAATTCTAACATTATTCATTCTTAAATATCCATTATCTTTAGTATTATAACCATATTTAGGTCCAACATCTCCTACTTCAATTCCTTTTAATGGTAAATGAGTATGTGTATCTCTTACTTAAACAATAAAAGTTTGTACTCCATAATGTTTTCCATTAATAAATAATTAAGCATGTGTTACTGCATGGGTTGCTGTTAATCCTAAATCTCCAATCCACCATTTTGTTGATGATATTGTTGGAGAATTTAAAATAAACTCTTCTGTATTTTTATCATAGACAGCAGTAGTTTCTAAACTTTATACGTCTGATCCATGTCCTAATTCAGTCTAAGCATAACACCCTACTATTTCATAATTTAACGATGGAGGCAGCCATTTCTCAATTTATTTTTCAGTTCCCAAATACTTTATAGTTGGAATAAACATTGTTTAATGCAACACAGTCACTACTGTTTCTGGAAATTGACTGTTCACCATACCAGGAATCATTTCATCACTATAATTTAATAACTTATGTAATTTATAAGCTTTCTTGCAATAGATCTCATATAATTTATCTCTACTCTAACCATAATCTCCAACATTATTTTACAATATTGGATCCTTTGCAATCAATTCTTATACTTTTATCCATCTAATCTCTCTTTAATTAATATATACTTATGATAATTCTCTTTATACAATAGTTATCCCATGTCATCCGGATTGAATGAACATTTTACCATCTCTTATGTTGATGACATTTCAATTATATTATAATACTATATTTTTGTTCTTCATTTTATAATATTAAATTGCAAACGCACTAAAAAATATAATGACGCTTAATTAATTAATATTATTTTAAAAATAGTATTCACAATTATTATGAATCAACTACTTAAGTTAATTGTTGACTATTTTGAGTCTCAAAATTACTTTCACATTAATCTTCTTAATATTCTAATTTACATCCATTTAATCTAATCTTAGTGAATATCTCAGTGAAACAATAACACAAAGCATCCAACAGTCCAAGTATGTTACAAAAGAACTACGATAAGTATTACCATATTATTGATTATGGATTAAATTGTTAAACTAAGCCAGGCTACAGGATAAGAATGGTAAGATTACAATCACCCAACATATAAACAATATTGTTGGATACACAAATAATGCAAATACTTATGTTTTATTTGTAAAATCTGTTATATGCTTTAATATTCTCCTTACAACTAAACTTATTATTGTTAAATTATATAAAAATGCTATCCAAATTGGTAAATAGTAACACAAGGTTATGTATAAATCATAAGCCCTCTTATCCAATCTCATATTATAGAAACAGTTTGTAGATTACATTGGATATGTCACTCCATATCCATCTATATAAAATGGTCTATAAACTAATATTGTTTATTATTTACATGAAACTAATTATGGTTGGAATCACGTAACCAACAAAAATATATTGATAATAATACATCTTTGATATATTTCTATACACTTGCATATATAAAGTATGACAAATTATTGATGTCCAGGCAGTACTAGATAAAATTGAAAAATTTGATAAATAAGCTTCTATATAGCAAAAAGTTGGATGTGAATCTCTCAAGTAACTTTCTCTACTACTACTATTTTAAGTTATAATGTATGCCAAACTTATTACGCTCATTATTGATTCATATATTAAATCTGAAAATAATATTCTCGTTACTAACTTAAACTAAGCATTATTTAAGTGCTAAAACTTTAAATAACAATAAAGAGTGAAAACTAATATAAAGACAGAAGGCACACAAATTGCTGCTATTTCAATTGCTAATGTTAATTCTTATTGTTTTGTTAATTCCATAACAATTGAATAATTTTAATTCATTATAATTAATAATAATTTTATAGCCAACCTCTTTGCAAACTTTTATCGGTTATTTTAACATATCTTTATATAATAATATTAATCCTATTACTCTCATAATTTAATAGTACCTTTTTTGATTTAAATTTAAGAATTCCTGAAAAAAACTAAAATCTTGACAATTTTATAATTACTATCCAAATAATGTGGAAATAAAAAAGTTTTATTTAAATTTCCATAAACATATTTAATATTTGAATGTATTAATAATAGACATCTTAATTAGCATAATCAAATTGAAGATTTTATGAAGCACATAATCAATATAGTATTAATTGAAATAAAATTTTTAGTGAAATGATCATTTTGATGCAAAAATCTTCCATAAAAAAAATTATTTAATTCTAGCACTTAAACAGCTAGGAAATAATAATGAGCATGATAAAACAAAAAAAAATATTTTTTTAATATTCATATTTAAAAATCTTGCATTAATTAATAAAGATACCCTTAAATTCTGTTAGAAAATTTGTTTAAAGTTAAAAATAAATTAAGTAACACTCTAAACTACAAGTTTAAGTATTCCAAAGTTTCTACAGAAAGATTATGAATCTTTGTCGAATGCAGATGGTTACTAGCCTTTTAAATAAAAGAACCTTGATATTTATGATTTTGTGTATTTTAGATAAAATATAATCCTATCTACAAGCCAAGATCTAATCTATTTAAGAATAGAAAATATTCAGAACTAATTTAAGTTATGGAATGAATTTAAAATACTCCTTAGATGAGGGTTGCTATTAAATATTTTAAAGAATTAATTGAGAAATAAGTTTTTTTAGACAGTATTGTATTTGATCGCATTCTTTGATATTCAATATCATTTAAACGAAAATATGATTGAATATAAATTCAAATTAAAAAATCAATTCAATTATTCATATTATAAATAAATTATTCTCAACTAAATATAAAAGAATAATTAAATAATAGTAAATAAGTTTTTTATTCAATGAACAATTATATAAATTTATTAATCAATGATTAAATTTGGATGGATTAAATTAAATAATTGTCATTTTCTAAATTTTCTAATGCAAAGGAATTGATTCTACTTCATTTGCATCTTAAATGAATAATGTATCAACAGATTTAGCTCTTAATTTAGATTATATATTGAATTATCGGTCTTACATAGAGATATCAATTTCAGATTTCTCTTAGATAGTTGAAAGTGAAGGTGCTCCAAGTAAATTTCCTTTCATTTATTCTTTACTTCTTGAATTAATAAACCAATGGTGCTTTAAAGCAGTTTATGCATTAAGCCTCTATTATGGATCTTTTTTTAGCATTCCCTATAGTAATTCAATAGCAGAAGAGGATAATTTTTTAGAGTATTCAAAATTTATTTCACATTTTTCATTTAATGTAGCAGTTTCTCTAAAATCTTTTCCTTCAAATGGATACTTGCAATAAAAGATACCATAAAATATAACACCTAATGAGAATATATCTATTTTATCATCAAAATTTCTATTTTGAAATAATTCAGGAGCCATGAAACCTGGATTAAAGACTTTTCTCTTTTTACATTTTTCTTTTGAATCAGCACTTGCAAAATTGGCAATTATTAGATTATTTAATTAACTATTCAATTAAATAATATTCTCTGGCCTTATATCTTTGTGAATAATATTTTTTTAATGTATATGTGCTAAGGCATTTAACAACTTGAAACATACTTCAGCTTATTGTTTTTCAGTTAAACTATGTATTAAATATGTATATTACTTCTAATAATCTGGTAATTTAGTTTTAAGTGAGTGACCTAAGAATTTATCAAACAAAATATATACGGTATTGCTGTCTTCATAGACTTCTAATAATTTTTAGATTTAAGGATGATTTAAACGACGCAATATTTAAATTTCTCTTATAACTTATTTCGCTTAAGTTATTTGAGATTTTTCTAAGATTTTGACTTAATATTGCAACCCATTAATACATTTGTAGCAATCGTAAAAATTAAGTGAATTCTTGATCTTACCAATAATTTTATGACGTTTGTTAAAATTGGGCAATAGACAAAGTCTTTTCAAGTAGTCATGCCTAAACTCTATGGACTTAGTACCATTAATTTAGCTATTCAACTGATTCGGTATATAACAACAACCTGTAAGGTCCTTTTAAGAACCCTAATCCATATTTATGGGGTCCATAAGTCTCAGTTGGTTTGAGTCTTCTTATTTATACTCCAGGTAATTGCATATAAAATTAACCTTTACATAGCACTTCTGGATAAAGTTCATAATGTTCTTCAACCCATACATTACCAATGAATTCAAAGAATTTTCCTTTATAAAGCAATCTTTCTGCCTAAAGTGATTATTATAAGGGTTCCCAAAATGTTACCGATTGCTCAAGATCAAAAATACTTGTGAAACTTTAATAATTAGGTTATTATTTCATAATTATTTATAAAAATTAATAAATGTTGAGCTCTTAATAGATTATGAAGATAACAAATGATAAATTTAATAGCTTTATATTATAATAAATCTAGATAGATGAATTTTAAAAAAGAATAAAAATTTAATTATTGAAATAGATTTTGAAATCTAAATTGATAGAATATGAAAAAGAAAATTAGAATGAAAAAAAGCATTCTTATTTATCTGAAATTTTATTTTAATTTTTTAGATTGTTTTTTTAAGTAATATAATAGATAATCAATAATTTTTGATGTTAAGAATCATTATTACAATATTTAATATTAAAATTAGAAAAATTGAAAATTAGTTAGAAAGAAGAAGAAGAGAACTAAAATATTATAATAATTTAGAGAATTAACTACTAACTGATTATAATATTTATTTTATTAAATGTATTATGCTCCAACCAGACCAATAGAAATAGAAAAGTTTCCAAAAGGATACATAAAACCTACAGGATAGAATTTAGAATTTCTGTAAAGGCAACCAGAGGATAATCGTAAAATCTAGGATTATTATGGGAAAGCTTAAGATTTGGTTGTTCATTCTGAAAGGCCTTAATATAATGAGACGGCAAATAGGAATAAAGATTAAGAACAATAGTAGTTTCTACTGGGTAGATAATAAGAAAATACATTAAAGGATTATTAAAACAACAGATCAAATACCAACATATTGTCAGGAACATCAGCATAGAGATTTGAAAGTGCTCCATTTAATACAATATTCACAAATGATAATGTTTATAATGTTGTAGGTGTACCTGAAGTTATAGCATAAAGCCTAGTATAACCTTTGGAACCAAGAAGAGGTATTTAAAGTTTGAGAGGAACTTAAAGAGGATATATTCATGATTATAGAGGTTTTGCTTAAGTATTTTAAGAACCAAATTTCTATGTTAAAGATTCTAGAGATGTGGGTTAGTAAGGTTTTGGATGGGTTCATCCAGAATATAGAAGTATGACTCCGCCTGGAATATTAAATGAATAGAGGAGTGGAATTCCAGAGGCAATATTTCATAAAAGAAATTAATGGAGAGAAGGAAGAAGAGATTTTGGATATAGAGTATTTCCAATAAGAGATTATTAAAAAATGTCAAGACTAGTAGATTATGGTGGAGCGCCTATAATATTGAATGAGAGAAATATATTTCCTTAAGATTATGGAGGAGCAGCGTATTTGAATTCTGAGAGATTGAGATATGAACCTTAATTTGATTATGAAATGCATAGGGATCCAAGAGCTGTACCAATACCCGATTATTATGTGCCAGAGTATGGTAGGAATAGTGGAATATGGAGAGAGAGGGAATTTAAGGATGGAATGAATTAGGGTAATTAAAAAGATTGGGTTTATCCTTCTTCTTATGGGAAAATAGGATAGTAGATGTAAAGAGAAGGGATATAAGATTATTAGAGTTAGGAGGGAAGAAGATATTGATAAGAGTAGAAGATAAAATAGGATTGAATATAATATAAGATTTTGTTATTTTTATTAGTGATTGGATAGAATATGTATTAAAATAAAATTATGTAATATATATATATAATGTTAGTCTAATAAATAGATTATTAATATTAAAGGATTGAAGAGAAGAGAAAGATTGAAGAAAGAAAGAGATTTATGAGGGTAGGATTATTATTAATATAAAATTATATTAGAAAATGAGTATAAATAAGGTGCTCGATCCGTTTTTAAATTAATATTAAATATGTAAAAAATAGCTCTCTTAGCTTTGGTTCTTGCTGTGACTGCTGCCAAATTCTTAGATACCCATACCACATTGGCTTAAATTAATGCTGATCCATTTGGACACGTTGTCTTGAGTGCCATAAAGGCTCATTTATAAGCCTAAACTCCAGCCAATGAAGTTAATATGTTATTAAATGGTGTTGGTGCTGGACTTGTTTAAGACTAAAATGATCATGACCATGCATTTGAACTTGACACCACAACTAATAATAGAGTAAGAATTATATAATATAGTAGATTGTTGAAGATTTGGAAAAGGAAATCTTGTATCATTAAAACTAAATTGCCTCAAATACTTAATTGAGAGATGATACTATTGAAGCTCTTGCTGTCTCTGAAGAAGATATTAGAGTTACAATCTAAGATATTGCTAATAATGAAGCTACCTATGCTAGAGAGGAAGCCACCAGAAATCAATAACATGAAACCTTTGTTGCTAAGGTTGCTGCTATTGATGATGTTATTGATGCTATCGATGATGCTGCCAAACTCGTCTAACATTTAAGTCTTGGAGCTTCATTTGCTTAATTAAAGAGCAATTATGACACACTTCATAAGAAACTCTCTGATAACACTTCACACACTGCCTTGTTATAAGTAATATTTTCTATAATTATTATCTTATAGCCAGTCATTACAGCTCTTACTGAATTAGCTACTCATGGAGTCAATTAAAAAGCTTTAACCAAAATTGCTTAACTCTTAAGTGAAATCAGATAATAATTAGTATCTGAAAAAGCTGCTAAAACTGTATTTATTTAATCTAAATAAATAGGATGTTGAAGAAAGATAAGCTGCTCATTGGGCTGAATTCAGTGTTCATTTGAGCAATGAACATACAAGATTGGTTGAAAGAAAAGCTTAATTGGAAGTCTAAATCTAAGAATAAAAAGATACTATTGAAGATGCTTAATCATGGATCGAATTCCATACTCTTGAATTAGAAAACAGCGAAGAAAGACTTGCTGGATAATAAGCATGGTTTGCAGTCTAATCAGAAATCTATGAAACTTAAACTGCTGAAAGGTATCCTTACTATAATTATCATTTAGAGCTGCTTAATAAGAAATTGTTGACAGACTCTAAGAGCACATCAGTGAAAAATTATCCACCACTGCTCAATTCATTGCCAGCAGAAATTGATCTGATTATCATAACATCAAAAAATATAGGATCACATCCCTTTTTTACTTCATTTTTCAAATTTTATCTACTTTCTTATTCATTATTCAATCTTCTAATCCATTTATCAACTTTTTATTAATTTATTTATGAAAATATTTATGGCATTCTCTAAAGGAAAATCTATTCTCCTTAATGATTCATTTAAATTAGCTAAGTATTTATCTCTATGTCAATCCACTCCTGTAACTTATCAAGGCATCAAATAATCATTAGGATATTCAAGTATACTCAATGCGTAATTCAATTTCATTTAATTTAATACATCCATTTTCCCATCATTTGTTTCTCTAATCACCAGGGATCTTAAGCACTTGGAATAACAAGAGTTTAACCAATTTTTATAGTCAATAAATAATTATCTGTAAGTAAGTCAATTCAATTAAGAATATGATTTAAAGATTTATCAATCTATTGTATAATCAATCTTACTACAAGCTAATTATGTCTAAAAAGCTCTCATGTTTTTTCATATGAAATATTATTACTCAAAATAATCAAATCAAGAATATAATTCAATTAATGAAAATTTTAAAAACTAACTTCTCAAATTAAAACCTTAAACTTTAGAAGAATAAATATGGAAACTCTTTATCGAATTAATTGATTTATAATCTTCCTAAAAAATTCCAAACAACAATAAATTAATTTAATCTGAAACTAAAATCATGGATGAATTTACTAAATCAATTGAAGCCATCTCTGTTTAAACATAACAGTTTTCTCTTGTTAGTAAATTAATCATTTTGATTATCAATGCTAAATTAAAAAAATATGTAAAAAAAACGTTAAATATTTAGATGTAAAATTATGATGATAAAACAATTCAACTAATGTTATTGGTATATAAAATTTGTTAGAATGATTTAGATCTAAATCTGTCCTAACTTAACTTTTATGAATTATACAATTACATGGAAACACTTTAAGAAAATTAAGATGTACTAATTTAAATTAGTTGGGATATAATTATTAATAATCTACTAGATAGAAATTTAAATGAAATACCAATCATAGATATTATTGCACTATTGCAATTTTTAATTCAACTAAAGAAGTTAACCAAACCACTTGGAAATTATTTGATTTAGTAATAAATATAATATCAATTTAGATATCTATACTAAAACCTTAATCTTATAGACAGTAAATATTTTCCAAAGATTTATCAAATATTATCTGTTGTAGACACTGAATATTCAGATAAGTTTTTATAAAAACTAAATTAAAAAATCAATCCAAAATTGTTAAAAGTTTCTGATATTTCAATTATTTTGACGATTTTAACCTAATTAAATAAAATTGAGAAAGAAATTTTGGAGAAATTCTTGATAAGCCTAAAGAGTAAATTAAAGGATATTTAGGCAGAAAATGGTTTTGGAATATTGTTTGCGATTAATTCTCTTTAATTATAAAATTCTTAAATATTTTAATAAATAAATACCATAAAAATTAAAGATGATTAGGAAATACCATTATAAATATAAATTTTACAATATTATTAACTTCATGATCCAAAGAATTAAAAGGTTTAAGTATTTTAAAAAAATTTATTAAAATCCCTTCAAAAAGAGTATAATGAATTATATTTAGAAATGTTTGTTTAAGTTCTTGTAAATGCAAATTAATAAACTAAAAAAACGATAACAATTATACCTGAGCTCAAACATTATGTAGCAAAATATTTATAAAAACTGAAAAATTCTGACGAACAAGTTTAGTTAGAAATCAGACATTTTTTGACTTTTTAATATAATATTAAATGATATTTTGATTGTAAATAACAAATAATAAATATTTTTTCAAATCAACAGCAACTTGAAGACTTTTCTGGTTTAACCACATCTGTATCTGCAACAATAAATTTAGTTGGTTATGGAGTTGGTTTAACAACTTTTGCGGATTTATATATTTCTTTTTTATTAGATTTTTATTCTTACATTGTAAAATATTTTTAAAGGCTTCCTCTACATTTGTTCCATCTTTAGCACTTGTCTCAATGAATGCTACTCCATTGCGTTAAGCATAGGCAATAGCACAATCAGTAGCTACTTATCTTATATGTTTTTAATCAGTTTTATTTCCGACAATCATAATTTATAAGGAAGGGTCTGCATTTTCTTTCAATTCCTTATTTATTGCTAAGATAAATACTTTCATCCATTTATCTACATTTTCAAAAGTCAATGATTTAGTAATATCATAAATTATCATGGCTCCGACTGCTCCTCTATAATAAGCTGAAGTTATAGCTCTGTATCTCTCTTGGCCAGCTGTATCCCAAATTTGTGCTTTTATGGTTTTATCATCAATCGTAACATTTTTAGAAGCAAACTCAACCTATTTTAAATGATAAACTCAACAATTTACTCCTATTGTAGTTTTGGAATCTTGTAAGAATTCGCCTCTTGTAAATTAATTGAGAATATTTGTTTTTCCAACACCAGAATCCCCTTTAAATAGAAATCAATAATACCTATTAAAACTAACTTATAAAGTAAATCATAGTCTTCAGTTCTATGTTGCATGTAAGAAGATGGAATTAATAAAATAATATTTTAAAGAATAATTATAAAGAAAGTTAAATCATTAGAATATCAACATATCATTATTTAATATTATTTTATAACAAAAACTTATCAGATCCTATCATCTCATATTTAAATATATTTTTTTGCAATAAATTTATAATTTATATCTCTTATCTTTTAATTTCTTTACAATCCAATATAAAAATGGAATAAATTTTTTTTTTTAATTTAAAAGAATATCAAATATTCTTATACATATAATATATAGAAATAATATAAATGAAGATTGAAATAATTATTAGATAATATTAAATTATTTATGAATAAAGTAAAAATACAATTTTAACAAATTAATTCAATCAAAAGTTACTTCTTTACTCAAAATTTGTACTAAATGCTTATTCTTAGAAATCTAATCTTTTGAGAAAAGCAAGAGAGTTAATTTAACAGTTTTGATAATTGCTAGAAATTATTTAGAAATTATAAAAATTATGACAACAAAGACAATAATTAGAGCAATCAAAACTAAAATAGCCATTAATATTGCTTATGTATTTGATTTTTCATTATTTTATTTTTAAATTCCGAATAATTCATCTCTATTTTTATTAAATTAAGGAAATACAAAACCATAAGCAATAATAATTTCTAAAAAGTCAATATCTTTCATTATTTGAAATATTCCCAATGAAAAATTTGAATATTCTGATTGCATAACATTTAATTAATTTTCAGTTGTGACAACAAATTTTGAATAGCCTTCCTATAGAATGTATGGACATTAATATCCTAGTTTATTCATAGGAATAATTTCCTCCATTTCACAAATATTATGATTTACAATAGATGTTAATGAGGCAACATCATGTGCTTCATCATATGGAAGTTCAAATAAATATTAATCTTAATAATTTTAAAACCAAGATTCAAATTAATTAAAAATAGTAGGATTAACATTATTATATGGATTTGCATATTATTAAATAAAATAAACTAATCTATTGCTAAATGAAAGTTATGTAAGACCTAACTTATAGAGATTTTCATGAAATGAAATTAATTAATTTGCAGAATTTGAAAATATTTGATAATATGGAATAAAATATAGCAATTCTAAAGCTCCTAAGAGAATAATTAAAATTAATTATTTAGCCCAAAAAGATTATTTTAATTTTGTATCAATAAGTCTTTATTCATTTTTTAAGGCTTATTATGATTATTTATCTAATTTGATTATATTATATTTCATATGTTATAATTCATCAACAGCAAGTAGATTAAGTGTTTCATTTTCTTGTTCAATAATAGATGATTATAAATTTTAGAATAAGAAATAAGTTCTAACAATAGAAACTCTCCATTTTGTAATTGATATTTCAGCTAAGCCAATAAATACTGCAATAATTACACCAGAGCATAAGCCTATAATTAAATAATTTAAAGCTGTATTTACTGCTGCATCTTTAGTTTATTTCATTTCATTATCAGTAGAATTAATTAAATTAGCAGCTAAATTAAAATATGTTGGATAATTTAAAGTGAAATAACTTTCTTCCATATGTTTGATATCAAAATGAGATTCTTCATATTCAACAACTTCTAATATTCTATGAAATACTAAAGGTAAAGAATCAACTAAATAACGTCTCGTATTAAATGTAATATACTCATAAACTCCATAATTAGAAAATGTATGATTAATTTTAATTGGTGCATATTCTAACTTTTATAAAAATTCAGGATTTATGTATTAACGATTATTCACAGTCCGAACATAATGAATATAATCATCAGTAGAGTTTTAAATGTAAAATTGTGGTGCTCCAAATGTAGAATTAGTTGCAAGTAAATGAATTGCAATTTCCATCAAATTAATATTCTATAGTAATGTAATTGAAAATTATCCTGCACTAGAATCTAAATAAATATGATGAAGTCCTTTTTACAATTAAATTATACTCAAAATAATTAAGACAAGTAGAAGAATAATATAAAATAGTGCAATTATAAGTATGCTATAAAATTAGTGAGAATTTGATTATATCATGCCATTGATTACATGATTAATCATTCCTTTTTATGAGTCTGTGCTTTTTATTGATTATGATTACTACTCTAAAATTAATTTATTAAAAGATCCTTTTTTATAAGTTTTAGTTTTAAATTTAGGTTACTTTTCTAATTAATTTTTATTTAATTTTAACATGGATCTTATCCAATTAATTTATCCTATTAAATATTATTCATTAATATCTTTTATAGAAATTTCCATTTACATTTATATTTAAGTTTCTTCAGGTGAATCAACCTCTTAATATTCTTCGTCTCCTTATAAAACTTTCTCTTAATGAGAAATGTTTTAAAGATTTCCAAAATTTTGATGAATTAATTATTAACTTTCTCTTTTAGAATCTCTTATACTGAGATCATTAAATCTTCTACTTGAAAGTAAATAGTCTTGAGTTTAAAAAGAATTTGCGATAATTGAAGAATGATTATCTTAATTATTTTTTTTTTCTACTTGTATTTCATTTTAATCTAAAGCTATAAATTAATACAGTTAGACATTTTAAGGTTCTTATTAAATATGGATACTTTCATTACTGATAATAAAATCTCTATCATCAATTTCTTATTCCTATGAAGGACTTTATTGACTCTGAGATTTTTAATTTTTTATCTCTGGTATTATTGATTTGAATGAAGTATAACTTGTAACATAAACTTCTGTTTAAATACTATTATTAAACATAAATTATTTTAACATTAATTCAAGTGCTAACATTTTTATTTCAATATCTTTTATCTCATTAGATTAATAAATTTCAAGTGTTTCATATTACAAATTGTCATCATCATAGGATGTATTGTTAAATTTATATATAGAAAAAAACACAAAGCATTTTTTTGGATATTTGAGAAAATATTTATAAAATGATACTTTTTCATCTTAAGTAGCTTACATAGTATTAGCTTTATCATCTTTTTTGGTAAAATTAGTTTTAGGAATTAAAATAAATCCTTCATTTAATTCATTTAAGTTTTAAGATTTAGGTATGCACAATTTCATATTAATATTAATTTTGTGATGCAATTTTAATATTTTATCTAGATATAATTATTAAACAGCCAATTCTGAATATGAATAAATAGTTCCAAAACTATTCAATAAAATTTTACCACAAGTTTATTCTTATTTATATCCCATAATTGTCATAAAAGTTAAATATTCCATACTTTAGCCAAGCCTTACCAAACTATCAATTTATTTCATGAAGCCTTTATTGGTATTTATGAAAAACTATTATATTCCATTGTTTAACAATCTTGGTTTACCTTCATCAATTAATCTTTTAATAAATCTTGAGTGAACTTCTTTAAATGGACTTGATATTAATTTGTCTATGTATTGTCCAACAAAGTCAGACTTAATACCATTTTCTAAAATTATTTAATTAGATTTACCTTCCATCAATTAAGTGAAAAGAACTGAATGATTTAACATTACAAGTCCTTTTTCATATTTGCATTATACAAAACAACATTGACGATCATTTAGAATTTTCCAAAGTGAATCTACTTGAACACTTAACAGATTATGATTTACTTAAATTTATTTTAGTTTTTCTTCTTGAAATGTAACCATTGAATAAAGAGCTTAAACTAAATTCTATGTAACAAAGGATTATGGATTTAAGTAAAGAATTTTTTGTAATAAAGAATCACATTTTTCGTATTAACTGATATATTAAAATAATCTATCATGAAATAAATAATAAAGTGGATTTTAATATTAAATTGTAAACATTGCTAAAATCTATTATCTTTGATTCAACAATTTCACAATCAATTATCCTACTTATTCAACTAAGTTACAATATGTATAATAAATATAACTATTAAGTCTAACTCCTTAAATTTTAGATAATAATTTATGATAAAAGATATCACGATGACACTATATTCTAAACTAATAAGGAAATACTGTATATCCATAAAAGGTTGTTTAACTTAGTTTAGAACTTCTGATCAAAGTTTCAAAAAGTTTATCATTTCTATATTCAATCTCAATTCTACTTAATAAAAGAAGCTTGATAATTTATTTGAATATTTACATATTCTTCAGAATCAGCCATTTATGAGAACTTGTATAATCTTATAATTTCACAGAGAATCTCATTAAGACTTTATTTTAACATTGTCTTAGCACTTTTCCAGGTTTCTTATTAATTAATAGAAATGTCTCTATTGCAAAAACAATCTAAACGAGTGCAATCTTTTGAATGTGTTACTAGTATTTGAGATATATATAATAATCCAATATACAAACCTAATTAATATGTAAATTGCAATAAAATCATAGAACTTAATTTATATGGTTACTATTATAATATATTCTTGATTTGATAATGAATGTATCGATTTAATAATTAAATCTACAAAAATAAAAGCAAAGGAATTACTAATAGCAAGTCTTTGGTTTAAATTAAGAATAACATTAAAAAAACAATCAAACGAGTCATTGAAATTAAAGTTAAAGTTTAAAATTTGATAAATTCTTAATTTGTGACAATCATTAATCCAAAAACTTATAAAATAATAAGAACGTCATATACAAGTAAACAGATGAGGAATATAAAATGGTTTAAGTGATGTATTGAAAATGCTATTAAGATAAAAGTATAATTAAATATTTTAATAGCCTTATATATTTGAATTTCTCCAATCTTTTCTGTATATAATAAAAGTAGTATTGCAATGGTTATAATAAGGAGTACATTAAATAAGCTGATAATATCCAATTATTAATTTTAAATTAATATAGGCAGAGCAATATGAAAATGATGATGATACCAAAATCGAAATAATATTGTTTTAGGGTAATAGAATGCAAAAATAATGAAGGCAATAATGAAAATGCAATTATATATAATTGAAATTAGTGAGTCTAAATATAAGCTAATTCCTGTTGCTTAAAGGGTAAACAATATTTATATTAAAATTTCTTCAAAATAGTTATTCTGATTAATAAATAATAAAATTTTCATTAAAATAAATAATATCTGAATTTTGATTGAGAGGTTTTTGCCAATTTTTATATATTAATATAATAATTAATTAAATGAAATAATCGTCTTAATTATGCAAAGGACATGTAATATCAACAGGATGGTTATAAAATTCATAACATGAATATTAAAGTCTTCTTATAGCTTCATTTAAATAGTAATTAGCAGAAAATTCTTAAATTATATAAGAATCAAATTCAGAAAAATTGACAACAGATATTTGTTTGAATGAAGAATAACGCAAACAAGAATTGATAATGTATAAGATAGGAAGAGTAATAGGAAGTAGTTTAGAGAGATAAGTAAGATTTGATAAAAATAATCTATTTCAAATGAAAGATCATAAACCAATTAAATAATTTCCACCTATAAAATCAATATAAGTGGAAAACAAGACTAATAATTAAAACACATGGCATGATAAGTAAGGAAGTAAAGCAAGATTATTGATTCAATTTGAAAAAGATCATACAAACGTTTATATTTATATGAAAGATGAAAATTAAGCACTTTTATGGTAAAGATATCTAATAATTGAAAAATTGATTTAATAAAAACCAAAATAAGTAGCAAAATGTTTTGGATATTGCTATCAAGAATATGAAGATAAATTCACTTTTATTTGGGCATTAAAATTTGCTTTATAATTGGAATAATTTGCTATTTATACAAATAAATAAAAAAAATAATAAGCATAAGTAGATGCTAATAATTTAATTAAATGGTAAAGAAATGTGATGAATTATCATATAAAGGTTTGGTTAAAGAAAAGTTAGAAACTATTATAAGATGAATAAGATTATTAAGATTAATTAAAAAAATCATCTATTAAGGAATAATAATAAATTTAATAATCACAAGAGCAAAGAGAATTGGAAAAAATAAAAAGAGAAAAAGAGAGAACTTAGATGTTAGAAAAGTTAATAGAAAATCATATTAAGCCAAAGAAGTTTGATATATAAAAATTCTTAAAAGGATGGCAATAAAGATCTAATTTTATACATCATACTAATCCTAAGAAATTTTCAATTAAAATAATTAGAATGTATATTCAAAATAATATTTAACTAATAAGACCATTATTACAATTAAGATTTATATCTGAAGTAATATTTGTCGAATTTAATTTAGAGAACTGAGGAGACTAAAGATATTGAAAGTATTAAAATATTAGATGGATTACAATATAATATAGAAAAAAGTCCTTATTTCACTTGTAGATTACTTGCACAAATGAATCAATAAAGAAGAAAAGACTATAGTGCTTGGAGTTTTAAAGATGGTATACTTGGGTTATAAGGAAAAACTTACATGACAATTGATAGTTTAGGATATAAAGATTTTATTGATTTTTAAGTTATTGATACAATGAGTAATCTATTAGAATATATTAAAGGAACAAATACTGCTTCAAAAGTTTTAAGAATATAATTCTAAGATTTGATAAAATATTTATATGAAGGCCGTTCATTTTGGATAGCCCTTGAATATGAACAATCAAAGATATTTGTCGAAATGGATATGTTGGAACATTCTAATATTGACCCAATATTTCTAGATAGATTAAAATATGTATAATTAAATGGTGTTTTAAGAAAAGTTAGCATCAAAATGATAGAATAAAGAACTCCTGTAAAATTTATTTAATCATTTTTTTAGCTTCCAATTATTGAAACAGTAAAATTTGGTTTAGAAATTGAAAGATATTCAGAAGATATCTAAAATTTATATTAAAGTTTGTATATAGAGAATATATGTCTGTAACCTTAGTGTTAACCAGCTAGTTGGTTTACTCAATTAGATTGTATGGAGAAAGTTGTTAAACCTGTTACTGAAATACTCAAGCGAAATTATTTAGAATTTACTGATGTCACGGATAATGTTTAAATCTATTATTAAATAAAATCTATTCCTAATCTAAGATTACCTTTACTTAAAGATGTTGATGACTTTATGAATAAATTACCTGTAGTTTAAGCAAATCAACATAAATAATTTTAAGGAGTCTTAACATCATTTCTTATTTATTGTAATGTCAGAACCATTTAATTAAATGTGTCATTTTTAACTATACTATTTTAAATTGCTAATAAATTTATATGTATAACTCATCCTCATTTTTTATATGATTTAAGTAAACCTGTATTTGGCCATAAATTTGATTCTGAAGCATAGGCATTCTGGCTTTTTACTGCTTTTGTTGAATTAATGAGAAGTGTTCATTTTCCTTTAGTTAAGGAAGACACTCTCTTTTGCCCATAAGAAATTGTAATGTAATATATGGAGGTCTTACATAAAGATATTGTGTAACATTGTAAAAACTATGATATTGCAGTTGAACATATTTTCTTTGAAATTCTTTCATCATTTTATACTAGTTTAGTATAATCATTACCATTATGTAATATCTGGAATTTAATAATTAAAAAAATATCTATGAATAAATGTGCATATTAATTAGTCTTGATAGTATTTATAGAAGAACTAGGCTAGAAATTATTATTCTGCTAAAATTCTGATGATTTCAAAAATGCTATATCTTTATAAGGTATTTTATTAAATCAAGTCATTAGCACAACTTTTGGATATTTAACAACTTGAAGCTGCTTATTAAGGATGTGAATCTAATTTAAATAGAATAATTAATGCCGAATAATCAGTTCATGAATCTGTTGAACATTCAAATATTCATTAACCTTTAGTTTAAGATTGTTGATTTTTTTTAACTTATATGTTAATTTTAAACTTTTAAATTTAGCTTAACTTTTTATTTTATTTTTAAATATAATTTGAAAATTCACATGTTTTATAATTCAATTAACATTTTGATATTAAAATATGAATTAACTTGGAATTTTAGATACAAGAATCCAGAGGCTTTACAAAAAGCTCAAAACAATTTTAATAATTTCTATTTGTAAGAATAGAGATTATATACGGCATTTTATATTAATATGAATATAAATTAAATATGAAAATATATATAAATTACTAGAAATATCATATTTATTATCAAATCAGTTATTCTAAATTAATTCGAGCTTCTAAAATAGTTTTTAATAATTCTGGTTTGTATTTATGCAAATATGGAAAATTATCATTAAGTGGATCTTTTTTCATCATAATTGGTTAAGTTTGTTTTTAATATTTTTGTTACTTTGTATTTTTATTTGAAGATTTCTTTTTAAATCTATTAATAGTAAAATCTGATTCAAATCTTGGATTGGTTCTATAAAGTCTTCTTTTATTTGGTGTTTGACTTCTTGTGACATCTAAGGAAACCTAGATTAAATCAGTTTATAAAGGAGAAGGTTTTTATTCATATCTAAATTAAGGTGAATAATGATAAGTTTGATATTCTTAAAAATCTTTTTGTTCTTCTTCTATTTATATTTAGCTAGAAATTGATTATTAGTTTTTACTTTTAACTTTCAATAATATCTTCATAATCAACTGGCTTTAGTTTAGTGATTCTATCACAATCTTTGGCAAATTTTAATCCTTTAATTTCTCTTTTTAATTTCAACTCACAAATTGGTTATTGGTTTTAAAATCTAATTTCATGAGATTCTACATTTACTTAACTCAATTCTTAAGCTCTAGATTTATCTAAATAAAATAATTATATACATAATTAAATATAATAGTCTAAATCTTAATCTAAACTAATACCTCCTATTTCACTAAGTATTATATTAATATGTTCTTTGATTTCTTTAAGATTAACTTTTTTATCAAGCATTTCTTTTAATTCTTATTTTAAAAATTAAAGATATCTCTTATGATCTTCAATTCTTTCTTGTTTAGAAGTTGATAATTATTACAATTTTGCTTTTTTCTTTTTTTTATATTCTTTATTAATAGGATTATTAATTTTTTCTGCTTCATCATTCTCTTACTCTTAATCTGATTCATCTTCCATAGGATCATCAAAAACTTCTCGATTATAAAATTTATTTTTATTTCTCTTATTTTCTTATTAAGTATCCAAAAATTTAGATGTTATTTCAATTTTCTATTAATCTTTTATAATTTATTTATTTTAATCAGTAAAATTTGTAGATGATTTAAGTTAACTTTTAGATTTTTCTGTAATTCCTAAAGTATTACGTATTTTTACTGAGGGTAAATCAATTGATTTTTAAGAATACATATTATTACTTATTTCTTCCNTATAAATTAAATATGAAAATATATATAAATTACTAGAAATATCATATTTATTATCAAATCAGTTATTCTAAATTAATTCGAGCTTCTAAAATAGTTTTTAATAATTCTGGTTTGTATTTATGCAAATATGGAAAATTATCATTAAGTGGATCTTTTTTCATCATAATTGGTTAAGTTTGTTTTTAATATTTTTGTTACTTTGTATTTTTATTTGAAGATTTCTTTTTAAATCTATTAATAGTAAAATCTGATTCAAATCTTGGATTGGTTCTATAAAGTCTTCTTTTATTTGGTGTTTGACTTCTTGTGACATCTAAGGAAACCTAGATTAAATCAGTTTATAAAGGAGAAGGTTTTTATTCATATCTAAATTAAGGTGAATAATGATAAGTTTGATATTCTTAAAAATCTTTTTGTTCTTCTTCTATTTATATTTAGCTAGAAATTGATTATTAGTTTTTACTTTTAACTTTCAATAATATCTTCATAATCAACTGGCTTTAGTTTAGTGATTCTATCACAATCTTTGGCAAATTTTAATCCTTTAATTTCTCTTTTTAATTTCAACTCACAAATTGGTTATTGGTTTTAAAATCTAATTTCATGAGATTCTACATTTACTTAACTCAATTCTTAAGCTCTAGATTTATCTAAATAAAATAATTATATACATAATTAAATATAATAGTCTAAATCTTAATCTAAACTAATACCTCCTATTTCACTAAGTATTATATTAATATGTTCTTTGATTTCTTTAAGATTAACTTTTTTATCAAGCATTTCTTTTAATTCTTATTTTAAAAATTAAAGATATCTCTTATGATCTTCAATTCTTTCTTGTTTAGAAGTTGATAATTATTACAATTTTGCTTTTTTCTTTTTTTTATATTCTTTATTAATAGGATTATTAATTTTTTCTGCTTCATCATTCTCTTACTCTTAATCTGATTCATCTTCCATAGGATCATCAAAAACTTCTCGATTATAAAATTTATTTTTATTTCTCTTATTTTCTTATTAAGTATCCAAAAATTTAGATGTTATTTCAATTTTCTATTAATCTTTTATAATTTATTTATTTTAATCAGTAAAATTTGTAGATGATTTAAGTTAACTTTTAGATTTTTCTGTAATTCCTAAAGTATTACGTATTTTTACTGAGGGTAAATCAATTGATTTTTAAGAATACATATTATTACTTATTTCTTCCTGCTTTACTTCTGATTAAATGATTATATCTGGAGAATTTACTAAATTTACTTAATTAAATTATTTTTCTTCCTAAAAATCTTTTATTGGTTTTTATAATTATTTCTATTCGGAACTTTTTTTATAATTTTTAATTGAAGTTTACCTAACTAAAATTGGAGAAATCTTTCTCGAAATTTCATTTATTGTTTACAATTATTCATGTTTATCATTATTTTGATCTTCTAGATTTTCAAATTTATTTTTTATTGGATGAACATAATTTTAATTACTAGTGTTTCTTAGAGTTCTTGCTGTAGTATTATTTGAAATAGATTCAGGCATTGAATTATGAATTTCAGAATCTTAATATTAAGGATGAAGAGATTTCACTTCTTTTTAAGCAAGGGATTGGATATGATCTATATCATCACTTGAATTTTAAGATTCATTAATTTAATTAATATCAATCTGTTAAATTAAATTTCGATTACTTTAAAATTCTTCTAAATCTTCTCCTTATAAATTTTTACTATCTTTATTAAATAGTTTATCCTAAAGTTCAGTCTAATATTTTTTATTTTTCTTTATAAATTCTATCATCAATTGAACATCATTTTCATCATTAACTTTTTTCCTATCTTAATGAAGACTAATGCTATTATAACTTGTAATAATTTATGATTATCTATTTTAATGGCTACTTAAATTTTGTTTTATTTCATTTTAAGTATGATAATTATGTGATAAATTTATTGGCAAATTGTTTGAAGATATATTTTCTAATTCAATAGGATTAAGATAATCTTCATAAGATCTTAATGATTGTTAAGATAATTGAGATTAGAGATTTCTACTTAGTTTTCTATTCTATTCCTCTAATCTTCTATCTTTGAATCTTTAATTACTATTTTTATGATATTTTTGATATTATTCCTAGCTCTTTTAAGAATTTTTAGGTTTACTATTACTATTACTATTACTTTTTGGGATCTAAATAATCTTTTTTTATGGTGAAATATTTTAGTTAACTTTTTATGTACTTTAAAGTTTACTTAATTAATTAGGATTCGATTATGAAAATTAATTAGAGTTTGGTAATGACAATTAATTAGAGTTTGGTAATGACAATTAATTAGGATTTGATAATGACAATTAATTAGGATTTGGTTATGAAAATTAATTAGGATTTTATAATAATTTATCTTATAAATGTTTTTAAGGAGAATGAAAAGAACTATCAAATTTATCGATTTAAGTTTACTTTGAAATTTTGTCAGTTATTTAACGTTCTTATGATTTTTATTTTTGATTATCAATTCTTTCATTTTATAAATTAAATTAATTCTCTGATGATTCCATATTAAAATCTATATCTGTTTTATCTTGTAAAAAACCTAATTAAGATTTGAATTGGTCTACTAATCCATTTGTTTATTAGTTTTAAGATGAAACTTTAAATTATTAGAATTGCTCACTTGATTAAAATACTTCTTATTCACCTTTTGAAAATTTTGATTATGTATCAAGAATGATTTTTTATGCATTACTTGAAATTTAATCACCAATTATAATGAGTTCATTAAATTATTATTCTGTTTTATTTAATTCATAATTTTTTCTTGCTCTTTTTAAATTTATATCTAATCCAACATAATTAGCTAAATCTTAGATTTCATTTGAGAGCAAGACTTTTTCTTAATTCCATCTTCTAAATTTTAATGTATTTTACGATTAGATATTTTAATTTTAAGAATTAATTTAATTAGTTATAGATTAATTTTATAAAGAATTAAGATTTATTTAATTGAAGAGTCGCTTTATTTCTAGAACTTTTAAAAAGGTTTGTGCATCACAAATTCCCTATTTTTAATCTTCAACAATTTTCTAAAAAGTTAGATAATCATAATATCCTAAACCTGATAGTCCACGTTCAGATAACAATTAAATAATTCTTTTAATGAAGATGTCTTATAATTAAAATAAAGATTAATTTTAAAATTTTTGTGTAGCATTAAAATCCAACACTTAATATGTAATTGAAGATTTATATTCTTATAATTATTTTTCAGGAATTGGTATCTAAGGTGGTTTAGTATTAGAAAGGATTGTATTATAAAAGTTAAGATCATCATTTGACTTTTGAATTAACAATTAATAAATTTAATTATTCTATTGAATTATTTCTGGAGTCTGTAGTATATTTATAGGTATAGTACTTTTGAATATTTTAGTTTAATCTATCCACCATTAATTAACAGCGAAATGTCTAATTATATGTTTGAAGAAATCAAGATTAAGAGAGTTCGAGAATCCTTCACTATGCTATTATACATAATTAATGTAATTTCGAATAGGAAATGGTGTATGATTATTACTTTCAACATGTTTGATATCTCGCTTTTCCCATTTAGGTACAAAATACACATTTTTATTCCATATAGATCTTGATTCAACTAATGGAGGTTTATTTTATGTTATTGATAATCCTTTATCTGGTGATAATGAGAATCCTTTTTTGCCTTCTTAAAGTTTTTGTTTTAGGTTATTATAAAATTACATTTTATTAAAAAAGTTTTTTAAATAATCATTCTAAACCAGAATCCCAACCATCCCCTACATTTACTAATTATTTTCTCTTTGTGAAATTAGGAGAAAACAACAAGGATAATATATAAATAGGAATTAAATCGGTTATTAAAGAATAAGAGAATTAGAAAATAGCCCTATATAAAAATATATCAATTTCATACCAAGTGGAACCTTAATCAGGCAAATTAATTTTTATAACACCATTATCATCACATTCTTGTCCTGGTTTTAATTTCCAAAAAAATTCATAAGAGAACAAAAAATTAAAAGATGGCCTTAAAAGAGCACAAATTATTATTCCTATAGATAAATATTTTAATTTCTAAAAATATTAATTATAAATTTACAGATCTAAAATGATTACCAACACTATATTAATCTTTAAGTTTAGAATGCAGTATCAAAATAATAATAGCAAATGAAATAGTACTTAATATAGTTAATGCACCTAAACAATCTCTTCCTATGCTAGTACTAACATATTTTTCTAAAATTAATGAAATTATGGTAACAATTGGAATTGCTACAATTAATATGGAAAGAAATAGTTATAAAATATTGGTTAAACTTAGTAGAGATTTATTCTGATCTATTTTTAATTTCATTCTCCATAATTTAAGCCATAAATTACTACAAAAACAAAATGTGAGATTCAAAGTTTATGCTTAACATATTTAAACTGTTAAATAAAATGATGATGAAATCGTTAAGTAATTTTCTTCAGAATTACATTTCCAATTCCAAAATTAACTAAATAAGAAACCTGTTATTGAATAGTAACATGCAAAGATCTTAACTTTAATAAATATTATCTTTACATAATATAGTTATTAATAATAAACAATTGACACTTAACATTTTAGAAGGATTATTTTTAGAGTCCTCTTTTTTCCATAAAAACAAATTTTAGATTTTCTAAAAGATCATAATTAATAAAGCATTCCCCATAATGCTTAAAATTAAACAAGCTTAATAAGCATTTAAGGCAAAATTATACCTGAAAATTCATACCAATTAGTAACATCAATATCTTTAAATTCAGTTTACCTTATTATATCATTCATCTCGTCATTTTTCAATTCCATATATAAAAATAAAATATATATAAAAAAGTATTAATATTATCAAATAGAAATTTTTCTACCAACACTTTAAGGGCTTTCAAATTTATCATAATAATTGACTCCAAAACTTTTGACAAATTCATCTTCCTCAAAATTTTTTTATAATGGTTTTTTAACAGTTGGTTATAATTCATAAAATGTCTAAAATTTAATCAATTATAATTACATTTTTACTTAATGAATTTCCTGCACTTCCACTTCCACTATTACCACTATTATTATTAAGAGAATCTTCATCACTGGCTTCACTACTATCATCTGTATCCATAAAAACTTTATCAAAAGCCCATTTGAATAATTCTTAATCTTTATCATCTTGAATGCAAAATCTAACTTAACTCAAAAACTTAATTTTTGTAACATTCTCTTCTAAAAAGTTCTTAACTGCAATCATTTGCATTGTTGCTATTGTAGATATAGTAAATTTAGTTGATTTCATTACTGGAAAACATATCGACGTAATCTCCATTTCTTCTGCTACTTTAAGACAAGTCATCATGCAATCATAAATAAATTATTTCTAATATTTTTAATGAGCATTTTTTGGTAACTTTAAGTTTAAATTTTTGGGATTGTGATTTCTAGCTAATTTCATAGGTTCATCATCTTCATTTGGTAATACACAATAAAATACAAAATCAAATTCTAACTAATTATTATAATGTATATATTATACTTCTGCAGCATGAGAATGTACAACACCACCATGAGATACTACTTATTTATCTCTAATCTATTAAATATATTTTAGCAACTATTATTTTGTTTAAGGTGATACATTATTTATTAAATAATAAGGAAGCTATCTTATTAATAGTTTATACTTTTAAATTTAAATCTGTTTATGCCACTATTACATCTACTTCTTCATTTTTTATATCTCCTATATCCAAGTATATTCCAATATCTTAAAATCTATGTTAAGCTAATAACTTTGGTTAAATATTTTATTCGTTGTTTATCTTTTTATTAAACAATCTATTATACATTTCTTGCATGATATTCGCACATATTACCCATCAGATTTATATTAATTATCAATTAAGACTAAAATCTAAAACAAATTAAAATATCACAAAGAATTAAGATTGCCTGATCTACTCCAATCCCTAAAATCTATCCATTATAATTTGTTTATTCCATAATATTTTAATCTAGCTATTGAATGTCTATTTATTAATCTAATCTTTATACATGAACTTTACTTTTTTGTCATTTATATAATATTATAACAAGAAACTGCTTTCTTAGTTGTTTTTTCATATCGATATTTGTATAATTCCAAAAAAGAAACTATATTATCACTTTAGTCATTTCCGACAGGCAATTCTTCCAAATCTCCCCAAATAGAAAATTCTTCAAGATCTGGATCATTATCAAGAACAAGAGATTAACATTGTTTTAACTTATGTCTAGACCTATTACTTTTTATTATAGGAGATAATTATCTGTCTGTTTTATTTTCAACAAGATTTCCTTAAAAAATTTAAGTTTGCGAAGGTTAAGTAGAATCTTATTCTGATTTTAGTATTTTTGAACTATTTCCTTATAAGTAATCAAGTTTAAGTTAATCAAATCTCATATCGCTTTTCATCCTAATATGCATTTAATTATCACGATATTAAAAAAAAATATATAAATTCTCTAAATATTTTAACACATACACCATAATTCTAAATAAAATTAAATCAACTTCTTAGATTAATTAAATTTATAAAGCGATACCCTTCATTAACAAACTTTTTTATTTTATACTGTTATAGACCATAAAATTTACTTAGTGGTTCATAGAACATCTAAATGAATTCATCTACTACATTTTATTTAAATATAAAATCTTTCCTATATTTATTAACAAAAAATAAAAAAATATATCCAAAAATTGTTGAAAATAACTTGCCAGCTTTAATTTCTTTTATGTTTAAAATTTGAATACAAAAGTATAGTCAAAATATAAGGCACAAAGAGCTTTGACATCTAAACTACATAATAAATGGACAAATCCGATGGAAAAACTAAAAAATTATCAGTAATTAGACTTAATATATAATTATCATATTAATTATAATTGTAATATATTTATAAGGAATTATTAATATAATCTAACTGATCCAATTTAATTATAAAGACTTTGAATGCACTTTAATTTTAATTCTTTTTAAAGAAAGAAGCTTACGAAAATTATGTATTTTTCTTTTATCAATAAAAACACAAATAATACTAATTTTTTTTTTCTCTGAAAAAATCAATTTGCTCCATCCATAAATACGATTCTACGGATAAATCAAATTCAAAATTTTGAAGGATAAATAAATATAAAAAATCTAAAGTTCAAATTATTCATAAATTATCAAAACTAAGGATTATCTTTTTTACTATTTTCTTTATTATGAATTTGTTTAAATTTCATAATCATTATCATTTTCAAGTTTTTTCATTATTTATTTATATTACAATCAATAATGGAAAGCCAAAACTAAAGCAATAGTTTGCTTGAAATTAGAAATAAAATACTTTTCAATTACTTAGACTTTGTATATCATTCAATATAGATGAATAATTATTTGACCTAAGCAATAAAGATAATGGCTTCTCTAAGGAACTTTTCATATATATTTTAAAATTAGATGAGCTCATATACATATGTTTTTAGTATTATTGCAAGACCCTAAATTGTATTATAACTGGATTATATACAATATGTAATTTTAGCTTTATGCTTTATATACATAATATCTTCATAAGTGAAATGCTTTTTTTCAAGGGCGATTAACATTTTTGGTTAAATACTTAATTTAGGTTTAATTAATTTCTTTTTTGAAATATCAAAAGGTTCTTTGGATTATTTGGTATAAATTATGTTGATTTTCATTAATATTTTTGAATAGATATTTGCAGAAGGTACGTTGAATTTTGACTCTCGTAGTATTTTTAATCCAACTAAATCTATAATTTGTCATATTGTTGTTATAGGAAATATAGCTTTAATGTATTTGGCTAAATATTAATTCGATATTAAAATCATATAATCAGTGGCAATATTTAATGCATTAACAACTCTTGTGTAATTATTGTTAAAATTTCCAAAAGGAAATGCTATTCTAATAACAATTTTGTTTAATATTTAAATAATGACAATTTATTTAGGATTAGTTGAACTAATGTTAGGATCTCATAATTATATAAGTGATTTAATAATTATTTTGTTTATGCATAGAATAGTTTTAATGAATTTTGAAAGAATGTAATAATAGATACCAAAATCTTTGGAAGACTTAATTGTTAATTTTTATGATTTTAAGATACTAAAAAAAATAAAAATTTCACTTCCAACACATAAAGAAGATATGGTATTATATGCTTCTTTGTTGGCATATTAAGAAAAATATTATGAAGGACTTATGATTTTACATTCAATAAAAAAACTTAGTTGGTTATCTTCCCTAAAAAAAGATATAATGATTAAAGAATGGTTAACTCATTTAGATACTAAATTAAAAAATTAAAATAAAGCATAATAGGGTTTATCTGAAGCAGTAGAATAATTAATGAAACTTGAAGATTATAATGTAACACTCTAAACTAAAATTATAAATTTATTGAAAAATAAGTATCGTATTTAATAAATAATTTCATAAAAAGAAAAGATATCTCTATTGAATCTCTTTTAATATATTGAATAAGTTAATATTGTTTAAATTTAATTGGAAAAATAGTATTCTATATTTCCTAATTAAAAAACATAAAATGTGTTATGCTTTTTATATTCTGAAATTTTAAATGAATTTACAAAAGCAAATTTACTTCAGCAATAACTTTTAAAAATTGATGATAAATAAAATTTTTCAGTATTTACAAATAAAATGGTTTATTTAATTTCCACTTATAATTAAGAAATTATAATTAAAAGAGCTTCTAATAATGCCCCAATTTTATTCAAAATGAATCATAATAACTTACTATAATAAAATATAAATTTAATTATTCCTCCAGGTATAAAAGAGTAACATTCGAAATTAGTTAAGAAATTCTTAATTAATGGGGAGTCAAAATATATGAGGAGATTGGATATTAATTACTATTATAATCATTCAAAAGGAACTTTACATTAAATAGAGTTTGCAATTGATGTAAGTTTTACAAGTGAGGAAATCAATTTTATCACTTTTTTATAACCAATTTATGACTAACCTTTAATAATGATATTAAATTAAGATAAAATGATTACTTCGACAACAGAAAGTATTTTAACAGCTTTGAGCATCAATACAATTACATATTTTAAAAATTAAATTATAACTAAATTTATGCCTCTTTTTAAAAAACACGAATTATAAGGAGAATATGAAAATATTGATTTTTTTGTAGGTGTTGATAAAGATGAAGCAACATATAATTCAATAACTACATATTTAACAACATTAGAAATAATTCCAAAAATATTAAATGGGGAAATATTATTTTACATTATAAAATTTGATTATTTTAAAAAATAAGAAAATTCTGTAAAATTCACTTATACTGAAACAAATAATAGTATGATTTAAGGAGTATTTTCAGTTTCTGAAAATGTATTTATTGATGATCCTAATGGTTCTAGTAATGAACCCTAAGTTATAATGATTTCCAATTAAAATACATTATAAAAATCATAAATTAATGAACTTATGATAATTGATTCAACTGTCCATTAGACATAATTAAAAGATCCAATTTAATCTTCTAGGCCTCTCTTTTACTAAACCTAAAATAAAATCAATTATTCAGTATCTGTCTCAGATGATGATTAGATTAGGTAAAAATAATTAAAAGATTTCAGTATGGCTGAAAGTAAATAAAGAGAATCTTCTTAATTGTCCTCTTTGAAAGGATTAAGACAATCTAATTATTTTAAGAAATATGAAATATTATAGAAACTTGAAGATATTCAAGGATTAACCTAACGCCATAAAATATTTCTTTCATTTACCTCAGTTTGTTTATTAATATAATTGTCATTTGTTATAGCTGTATATTTTTATTATTATAATAGTAATTTAGTTAAACAAATACTAGTTTAACAAATTTAATTTTTGACATCGATTTATTGTAGATCAAGAATTTTGCTTTTTAGCCTTTTGAATCATTTTTGGTTACAAGATGGACAATTTTCAATTATAATAATTTAAAAACAGCTGGAAAAATATCATAAGAATCTTTTGATTAATTAGTTATATTTCCTAGATCAAATTTGCATTTAGGTTTTGATCGTTTAGAAGAAAATGTTAATTCAGTCTTAAATAAATTACAATTATAATAGTTTTTAGAAAGCACATATTTAGATATTCAATTATATACATCTTCAAATTTAGGGGAGCATTTTAATGTTTCCTTAAGAAATTGTATAACAATTATGTTAAATTATTAATATATAACAAAAATGGTTTATTAGTTAGAGGGAAATGTTAATGTTGATACACCATATATATATTATTAGTATAGAAATTATTATATTCTCAAAAGAGAATTTGGACGTATTAATCAAGATATTTTAGAAGATACAATAATGAGATCAATAACAATTTTACATAAATTAGAAATTATTTATATATTGTCATTAACTTTCCTTATAACTTTTCTTTTATGCAGTTATTATTTATATTCACGAATAGAATCAAGCCATGCTAATTTTATAAATTTATTATTTTGTTGTCGTCCAGAACATTTTAATAAGGATATGTAAAGATTATCATCTTTATAAACAATTATTAATAGTGATTACAACAATTTATTTTAATATTAATTTTACATGTATCGTAAAGAATAATATTTTGACGAAATTAAATTAAAATTAGAAAAAAAAGATCATAAAAAATTTATCTTAGAAAATAATTCATATTTAAGTGTGAGAAACTATTTTAATAGAATCTTTTTATGTATAATTCTCATAACAGTCTTAACTTAGGCAAGTATTTCCTATGGTTAAGTAAAAGATTATTTAAATAAATATCCTGAAACAGCTAAATTTTATAAGGGTGTTTCAGATATTGGTACAGATGTTCCTTGTGTCTTTGCATAAAGTAATATTTTATATGGAAGAAAGTTTTTTCCATATTATGATGAGACTGATATTTAATTAGTTTTTCAAGAAATAACTTAATCTTTGGCAGAATTATAAGCTTTTACAATAAATAAAATAGATTTTGAATAGTAAATGATTTATTAATATTTATTAGATATTTTTTGTCAAAATAGTTTGCTGATTATTATAATTATCTAATGGATAATAATCTCTGTGATTAATTATTAGATGATATGAGATAAAAAGCATCCACTATTTGTCCAATAGTGATGAGTTAAGCCATGTCAAGAGGATTACTTGGAATTCTTGTTTACATAGTTAATTATATATAAACAGAAAAAGATATAAATTAATTTACTGAGAGACTGCAATTAAGTTATTTAGAATTAGAAGGAGCTTTTTTAGTTTCTGAAATTGTCCGTAAACTTAATATTGAAATTCAATTAGATTTAAGTGTATAAACATAGAAATTGGTAGATTAAATAACTGTATTTATCTCATAAAAATCTAGATGCATAGCATATTTATAATGATAGTTATATTCTCATTTGTGATGTTCCTATCCATTATAATTAGAAAAAGGCTAATTTATAGACAATACATCATCTAAAGAATATTATATCTAGTGCCATTGCAAATTATGTTATTTGATGATGGTTTTGAAAGAAATGCTAAAACACTAATGCTTAAAGAAACTTTTTGACTCAATTTCAAAAACTTAAATATACTGAGTAAAATTTTTATATATTCTTTATTCAAAATTTTATTTTTTTATTTCTAATTTATCAATACAGATATTATAGCTATTTTCATTAATGATTAAAATATGATCAATAAATTACCATGCTTAAAGTTTAATGCTATATTAAATAAAATTGGTTATTTTCAATAATTCACTTATTATAATATTAATTAGACATAAATGTGTTTTTCAGAATTTACTACCAGCTTTAAGATATAATTAAGAACTTAAAATTTCAATAGAAATTATGATAGGAAATGCTTATGTAGTAATTTTTAAAGTTATTTTGTTTCGCAAATAAGAAAAGTTAAATTTAAATATTTATATATATAAAATTTGAAGTGATAAGTAAATAATATAATTTCAATTTAGAAGAATTCATGGAAACTATCTAACTTAAATATTTGATGAATTTAAAATACTGAAATACTAAATATATTCTTGCTATTAAACATTATCTTTAATGATTATTATTTAATTATCTATATATTTAGATTTATGAGAAAAGGGCTTTCTCAACAGACAAAGTCAATGTTTGAAAAATTAATTGAGTTAGATGACATATCAATTAGATTATCAGATAAAGTTGTGTTATTTATATAAATTCTTGGAGCTTCGCTAAGTTTATCATATTTACAACCTTAAGATCAACATAAATACATTTATATATTATCTTTATTTGCTAGACCGTAATTATTTATAAACTCTACTATCGTTGGATATTTTTTTCTAATTGCAAATATCCTATATGTATTAGGGATTTTTTTTAATATGCCTGGTAAAAGAATTATTTCATTGTATGGTGGATTAATGATCACAAACTTTTTAAATTTTGGAATGGAGATTTCCTCAACCCCCATATGTTTTATTTTATAACCATGCTTAATTATGATATCAGCTCTTAATCAGTTTTTGTTATTAGAAACTTTAGATATAGAAACTTATAATTTTCATTAAACTAAAGTTTTCTATCCAAACTATCTCATTTGGTTTATATAAATAACCTAATCATTATTATGGTATTATGATTCAAATATAATAACACTAAATTTGATAGGATTATTGCAATCTTTACTATAATTAGTTTTTACAAATAACTTCATTATTGCTTCCATTTAATTATATACAATACTTTATACAATAATAATAATCTTAGGATTTTAAAATAATTTATCTTCACTTTTAGTAATTTTTCCTATCTTATTACGAATTACATAATATAGAGAAGAAAGAAATAAAAAAACAGATATTTCTAATTTCGAAAACAACAAAAATAAAAAGAAAGAAAATGTACTCATAAATATTTCAATATTGATTCATCATAAATAATATTAAAAAGCCTTAATTTAACTTTAAGAAATGAAAGATTTAAATATTTATTAAGAAGTAAAAAAATAAAAAATGAAATTAAAATGTTTAAGATTGATAAAAACGATTATATATTCCAATTAATAATCCCAATAAACTTTTGTTGATTCTCTTTATAATCTCATTGAAGTTGAAGAACAATCATATTAAAATATAAAAGAGTTAAAACAATTATTATAATAAAAATTATATCTATTATAAAATTCATAAGAAGATAAATTTGATCTATATTATGAATATTTAGATAAAATATCAATTTTTGAAGAAACTCTAAAATTATAATATTAGAAGCATTCAACTTTAAAAAATAAGTCAATATTATTATTTTTTTATTCTGAGATTATGAATAACTTTCATTAAGCAAGATTTCTTTCTCATCAAAATAATCCAATATAACATGATAATTATGATCTTAATAAATTAGCTTATCTAATTTCAAAATATGATTAAGGTATTAAGATTTCTGGCATCTCTAACAATTCTATATTCACTATAGATTCCAACTCAGAAATTGAGAATTACATTCCTCCAGGAATAAGAGAACATCATAATTCAATAATAGAACAATTCATAGAAACTGGAATTTCTAAATATGCTAAAAGATTTGAAGCTAGTTTTATTGCAAAAGATAATGATACATATATGTCATCAATTGAATTTGGATTCAATACCATAATTACAGACGAATTAAAGTTTATTACTTTTATTTAAGTTTCATTAGAATAACCTATGGCTATGATATTAAATTCTTAATTAAAAATAACTTGTTTAAGTGAGTCATTATCTAATACTTTGAATATTTCCCAATTTGATTTTAAAAATATCGAATATAATATTAGAAAGTTTTTACCATTATATTCTGAAATTGAAAATTATCAAGAGAACTTAGAATTGATATTGTCTGATACAGAATAAGAATTTCCTTATGTAACAACAATTAATTAATAAATTAAAGTAATAAATAATTAGCCAGCTTATTATATATTAATTTTTGAATATATTCGAAAATCTAATTATAAATAAAAAAGCTTTTCTTAATTTACATACTAATAAAGCATTCTTGAACCTATTTCATAATAATTAGAATATAAATCTAAATCGGAATTTGATTTTTTTTTATAAGGAAACATTGCTCAAGAAGAGCTTATTGATATTCCTTATATTGAAAATGATTGTAATTAATAATATTTACATGATTTGATTGATTTATAATAAATGGATGATAATACAAATATTTACAGTCCTGATAATAAATAATAATCAAAAATAAAGCTTATTAGAAAGTAAACTTTTGCATCAAGATTGCGAAAATAATAATCATTAAATATAGAATAGGATGAATAATTTTTCATAAAAAATTCAGTAAATTCCGAAAACTCATTATCCAAAAATTTTTTATCAAATTATTATAATTAATAGTTCAATATCGCAAATAAATTTAAAATTACATTTTTATTAAGTCTATTTGTAACTCTTGCATTCTTTTTATAACAGATAATAAAAGTTAATTCAGATATTAATTAATTGATGGATGATTTAGAAGTTTTAGATTTTTCATAACTTTGTTTTTAACCAATAGAAAATAATCTATTGATAATATTTTCTTTGAGTGAATACAACTTATAATTTCTTCTGAAAATAATTACCTATTAATAGTTAATTCAATTTATATAATTTCCATCTTCTTAAATTTTAATAGGATATAATTAAATATACACAAATTTTAATCTTTTATTTTAATAACCTTTGCTATAAAATACTTTGGATGATAATCAACTTTAAATTTATTAATATACAAATAGTTCAAAAGTCGAAAACTATAATATGAGTTTAAGAAATGCTTTTGGAACTTTGCTGAAATTTCAATATGATATATTAATAGACTTTAAAGTAAATGGAAAAGTAACTGCTGATTCTGCCCATATATATTTTACATTTAAAAATTATATGCCTTTAAAACAAATAGTAACTGATTTACATAAAGACTTATTAGACAATAAAATTATTTAAGTAGAAGATAATATCAAAATAATAATCATTCTTCTGGTTGTTAGTATAATAACACTTACAATTCCTTATTTATTAAGTTATTATTACTTTAATGGGATAGCAAATTAGATTAGTAGATTTTATAATATAATTTTGTAATTGCCATAAGATATTAAAGATGGGCAAATTTTATATTATAAATAATTGATCTCTTAATTTAATGAAGATTGTGAATTTATTTTTAGATATAAATATAATGAATAAGGTTTTATGAAAGAAAAATAAAAATAGAATTAAAATTAAAAAAGAATCAAAGTGCAAAATAGATTAAAATTTAGAGGCTTAAGTTGGAAATTTGGATATCTGGTGTTATATATTTTAATTATTTTGAAATCTGGAATTTCATTTTAATTAAATCTAGAATATTTATAAGGATATTAGGAAGTGGCAATCTTTTACAAGGCTTTATCAGATTTGAGTATAGATATTCCTTCAATGTATTCAGCAAGAGAAGTATTACTCTTTCGAAATTCATTTCCATATTTGCAGAACGATACAATCTAATAATTAATCTAGGTAATTGAAAATGGACTTAATAGAACTAAAAAATTCTTAGAGTAGTAATTTATTTACGACAAGTAAATACTTTATATATTAAAAGAGTTATATTGTCAGAGGAATTTTAGGAGTACTATGATTAATTAGCAAAAGGAGACTTATGTAATTAATTGTCTCATGAATTATAAAAACAAACAAGTTCATTTTGCATATAATTATTCAATGGTAATATGAAGAATGGTTTATTGTCAATTTTAACAATCATAAGCAATAATTTATAAACAGAATTGAATTTCAATTAATTTGAAAAAAGAATTTAGATATAATTTTATGATTTAGAAGGACCTTATTTGATATCTGGGATTATTAGTAATCTGTATTAAGTTATGAGATAAGATATGCATGAACAAACTTACAAACTTTTAAAATAAATGAATGTAAATAATTATTATGAAAATTTAGATAACAGGAATTAGTTTACTTTCTCTTTTAGGAGTGTTGATATTATTATCTAAATTATTAATATTTAATAGATTTTCAAGGCTTTTTATAGTGAGTAAAAAATTCATTTCATTTATCCCTATAAAATTGCTTTTGTAAGATGAAGGAATGGAAAGATATGTTAAAAATTTAATGTATAAAAATAATTTAACTTGATTTATTTTATATTTGTTAAATATTTTAAAAAAGAAAATGATAAAATAAAAAGATTCTGGAAGTATTCAACATTGAAATTCTTAAAAACAAATCTTGTAAATTTTAAAATTTAATAATATTTAGAAATAATGATTTCTTTGGCAAAAATAATATCGAATGTGTTTACACTCTACTTTATTAAATAATCTATATCTGTTAAGAAATAGAGAATGTATAAAAAATGTGTTCATTTTGATCTACAATACTAAGAGATTTAATTAAATATTAATGACTATATATGAAATTCTTAATAACAATATCCTATATAGAATTTTGGAACACTTATTGATTGGATGATATTAGAAAAGATGATATAGAATGTCTTTTTAAAGAAAACTATAAAAAAAGTTGATATATGAATTTAACGATAAAAAAATAATAAAAATGGAATTTTTTTAGTGTGGTTATGAATGATAATTAATAAATGTTTATGAATGGTGATTGATTAAACAAAGAGGTTATAAATAATATTTATTTTGCTTTTTTAAGTGAGATTAAAAATAAAGTTTAACGTAAATTAAATTAATATCTGTTTGTAAATACACTAAAAAAAAATGTCAACGAATACTGTGAAAATGCTTTAATAAAGAAATATTGATATAGAAGTATCTTGTTTTGAAGATAAATTACAAATATCGCCATCGAAATAAAATAAAGAAAATTCACATCTAAGTAAATCTAAAACTTGTGAAATGAGTGATCTTGTTAGATTACTTCATAAGGTGGATATTGAGAGTTGTTAATAAGGAGGTAAAATAAATAAATAAATGTATAGATTAAATGGAATAGGAAGAGTAGAGTACTCCTAAGAAATAAATATAATAAGGAAAAACCTGTAGATATATTCCTTTAAGAAGTGGATAAAAGTAGAATTTGAATGAAGAATTTTAATATAGAGAGATTGAAGAGGAGAATTAAGAACCATAGAAAGGAAGTGATTATAAAGATAAAGGGAATGTTACTTTGAAAGATATTTATAAGATGCATGTTTTTGGTCATAATTTACAGAATGAATAACTAAATTGGGAATCAAAGAATTTATTACATTTTGATGATTAAACTCCATAAAAGCGTAAAATATTATCGGATATAAACCCAGGAGTTTTGGAAACCTATAATAATTTATTAGATTATAGAGAGTAATTTTAGAATAGTTAAGATTATTCATACAGTTAAAGAAAGATAAGTAAAGTACCATTTAAAGTATTGGATGCTCCTTAATTATAAGATGATTTCTATTTAAATTTAATAGATTGGAGTTCTTAGAATGTTTTATCAGTAGCATTATCTTCATGTGTATATTTATGGTCAGCATATAATAATAGAGTAACTAAGTTTTGTGATTTTGGTAATAATGATATGGTTTGTTCATTAATATGGAATCCATAAGGAAATTAATTAGCAATAGGGACTGGTTCAGGAGAAGTGCATATATATGATTAGGAGAAGATGAAGAAAATATAAATATTAGATGGACATTCTGCAAGAGTTGGATCATTAGCATGGAGTGGGAATGTATTTAATTAATAATATATATAAATAAGACTCTTTGTTCAGGTTCAAAAGATAGATCAATAATATTACATGATCCAAGATAAAAAAGATAGTCTGGTAAATTTGAAGGTCATAAATAAGAAGTTTGTGGTTTGAAATGGTCACCAGATGAATATTAATTAGCTTCAGGAGGAAATGATAATAAATTATTTGTTTGGAGAATGGGTTCATAGATTCCATTAGCTAAATTTAATTAACATTAAGCAGCTGTTAAAGCTATTGCTTGGTCTCCACATAGACATGGTTTATTATCATCAGGTGGAGGAACTGCTGATAGAACTATTAGATTTTTTAATACTCTTACTACTTNGAATAGGAAGAGTAGAGTACTCCTAAGAAATAAATATAATAAGGAAAAACCTGTAGATATATTCCTTTAAGAAGTGGATAAAAGTAGAATTTGAATGAAGAATTTTAATATAGAGAGATTGAAGAGGAGAATTAAGAACCATAGAAAGGAAGTGATTATAAAGATAAAGGGAATGTTACTTTGAAAGATATTTATAAGATGCATGTTTTTGGTCATAATTTACAGAATGAATAACTAAATTGGGAATCAAAGAATTTATTACATTTTGATGATTAAACTCCATAAAAGCGTAAAATATTATCGGATATAAACCCAGGAGTTTTGGAAACCTATAATAATTTATTAGATTATAGAGAGTAATTTTAGAATAGTTAAGATTATTCATACAGTTAAAGAAAGATAAGTAAAGTACCATTTAAAGTATTGGATGCTCCTTAATTATAAGATGATTTCTATTTAAATTTAATAGATTGGAGTTCTTAGAATGTTTTATCAGTAGCATTATCTTCATGTGTATATTTATGGTCAGCATATAATAATAGAGTAACTAAGTTTTGTGATTTTGGTAATAATGATATGGTTTGTTCATTAATATGGAATCCATAAGGAAATTAATTAGCAATAGGGACTGGTTCAGGAGAAGTGCATATATATGATTAGGAGAAGATGAAGAAAATATAAATATTAGATGGACATTCTGCAAGAGTTGGATCATTAGCATGGAGTGGGAATGTATTTAATTAATAATATATATAAATAAGACTCTTTGTTCAGGTTCAAAAGATAGATCAATAATATTACATGATCCAAGATAAAAAAGATAGTCTGGTAAATTTGAAGGTCATAAATAAGAAGTTTGTGGATTGAAATGGTCACCAGATGAATATTAATTAGCTTCAGGAGGAAATGATAATAAATTATTTGTTTGGAGAATGGGTTCATAGATTCCATTAGCTAAATTTAATTAACATTAAGCAGCTGTTAAAGCTATTGCTTGGTCTCCACATAGACATGGTTTATTATCATCAGGTGGAGGAACTGCTGATAGAACTATTAGATTTTTTAATACTCTTACTACTTAATAATTAGATTGGATAGATACTGGATCATAAGTTTGTAATTTGATGTTTAGTAAAAATGTTAATGAATTTGTATCAACTCATGGTTATAGTATGAATTAAATTGTTTGTTGGAAATATCCTGCTTTATAAAAAGTATATTATTAATATTCATTATTCTAGGTAACTACTTTAATGGGTCATACTTCTAGAGTACTATTTTTAGCAATGTCTCCAGATGGTGAAACTATTGTAACTGGAGCTGGAGATGAAACTTTAAGATTTTGGAATGCTTTCCCAAAAAAAGAATAATCTTAACCCATTAATACTGTTTTACTACCTTAGATGATTAGATGACAATTGTAATTTTACTATCATTACTATATTTTATTATCATCTTTTTAATTAAATTCTCCTTTATTTCATTTATAATATTAATGTATTCAATATAAATAGAGCTTAGATTAAAATAATAAGTTAATACCGAATAAATATATACTATATTGAATTAATATTGTATATAATATTGTTAAATATTATAAAACAATTTTATCAAATAATAAAAGGAATCATTATAATATTAATACATTTATTTGATGTTATCATAAATAATTGTCAAATGAACTAAAATTAACCTCAAACTTTTCAAAATTGGGTCTTAGAATTTTTATTTAATCTTTATAAAAAGGATATTAATAATTTTATCATAAAAAAACATCGATTGAATTTTAATTTTCTTTAGAATGATTAGAAAGAAAAAAGTGATAGTCAAATACATTAGGAATAGTTAAATGAAGTATAATCTTAAATTTCTAAATTTTTAATTCTGAAATCAAATTAATCAAGAACTACTTCATATTTAAATAGCTAATTTGAAAATGATGAATGTTTTTAGAAATTCAAATAAAACTATAGTGATTTTGAGGGAGATGGCAGAGATTCTTAAAACACAACAAGTTTAGGAAGTTTGAGATATAATTTTCATGATTGTGATAAAAGTTATCAAAAAAAAAATGATTTATATGTTAGAATACTGCACATGGAAGTTAGAAAGTTTCAAGAAAGAAATAGAAATTAGATTGTGATATTCATTTAGATGAGAGTCCTAATTGATTATACATTATAATAAAAATAATATTAATTAATAAATTAATATATAATTAATATATATTATATGATATTTTTATAAAGAATAGAATAAAAATAAATACTTATAATTTATGATTATATAATTTTCATAATATAATGTATATGTATATATCAATCATTAGACCAACCAGAACTATGACTATCACTACTATCTTTTCTATTTTTAGTAAATTGTTCTCTTCTTTAAGTCTTCATCTAAGCTAAATTATTTGATAATTAATCTTATTATTTTTTATCTATTTCTTTAATTTCAACTTTACATTCATTTTTTACAACTTAAATCAATTTAGCATCTTATTACTTTCTCAGCTTGCTTATTCAATCCAAAAAAATCTTTAAATGCACTTTAAACTGTCCCCTTCTCTTTCTCTAATTTTTCAAGTTTCTTTTTCTCCTTCTCATATTTTTTAATTTGAGCATTTATTTCTTCTATTTCTAAATTGGAATACTCTAGAAATTTGAAATTCCATGAATAGGTTACCAAAAATCTTTGATTCCATAACAAAGTTCCATTGAAAATAGAACTTAAAGGTTTAAAGGATCATAAACTCTCAAATAGAAGCACTATTATATTAATTATTTCTTACTTTTCCTTCTCTTCTATCTATTAGAAAACATAATATTCCTGCTATATTACATCTATGGAATTTATGTTTTCCTTCATCTGCTGTATAGATTTACACAATTGTCATTTCTAATATTGTTGCAGTTTAATTCTTACATCCTCCTACCAAATCGTATATTAATTGTCTCACCTTAGGATTTTTTAAGATGTCAGTCATTTAATTAATAATGACTAAATCATAACCAATATATAGATTATTTTATTTTTCTAATATAAATTGTATAAATTCAATAATTTTCTCTTTTATTCCTTATTTTATCTTATGTCTCATTATTCTTTAATATATAATGTCTAAATTTAATCAACCCTTTATTTTAATAAAATCTCAAAGTTTTTGATATATTTAAATCTTCTATATTACTTTTTATTTTCAGAGAGGTTTAAAAGTCTATATTTAATTTTCTTACTAAAATTATTATCTTAAATAATTTAAAATTAAAGTTTTCTTAAATATATTTAAAAAATGAAGATATACGCTATTTATAATTTAATAAATTTTTAAATCATTACAATTATTATATTATGATTTGGTTTTTACAAGGAGCATTTTAAGCAAGTGATAAGTAAAATTAAGTATTATCTTAATTACAATATATATTAACAAATCATAAACAGGAATCATAATTTAAAAGTTTCAAGTTCTAACTTCTAAGTTAACATCTAATAGACATATTAACCTAAATTAATTATAATAAATACCAAATTGTGATTATTAAATTTCATGCAATAGTTATTAATTATTTGTAATTTTTAAATATAACTCTTTTTATATTTCACTATCTGCAAATTTTAAAAAATTTTAGACAACATAATTTCCATAAGCGTTTTTGGATAATCGAACAAATAAAACAGGATGATTTTTTTGACTCAAGAGTAACTCCATAATTTTGAGTTTGAATTTATTATCAGAACATTTAATTGCGCAATCAACAACATTACTAAATTTATGTATAGCACTACCTCCCAAATTTATTTAAGCTATATTCTTCTATTTTATCCATTATAATTTATTAGATTTCAATTTAAATAATTACTGGGCCATCTTTCAGTAATTATTGAATAATATAATTTCCATATTATGATGTGCATAACTCTTAAGATATTTTCATAATTTCTTATAAAACTCTCATTTAACGTTCAGGATGATTATTTGAAATTTAGATAGCTTTTTAAATAATCCTGCATCCAAAAGAATTTGTAACTAATTTGCTAATTTGTCCTTCAATTCCATCTAAAACCCAAAGACTAACATCTCTATCCATGAGTTGAATAAGTTTCTATACAACATGATTTCCATGTTAATCTATAACTAAATCCCTAACTTTTCCTTTAATGGAGTCAAATAACACTTAGAATTCTGCGGTTTAATGTGCATTTTATAACAATTTTTATAATACTCGACATCCATATTAATGAAATGCAAGTTATTAAGTGTGAGGTTATAAAATTACAAGCATTTTTTATTGCTGTAATTGAGTTCCTATATTTTATTTAAATTACATACCATTTTCAAGAAGGTTTTAAATGACATAATTGCCAAAAACATCTTTTGATAAAGAAACAAATCCTTTTTCTAGTTTACTAAATATTAAGTCTTTTATTGTAATAGGTCCTTCTTAAAATTATTTTTAAATGCTTCTGGCACCATTTTAATCTTTACATTTAGATATCTTATTTATTATGAATTATTAATTACTAAATCTCCATCTAAACTTGTTTCTTCTTCAGGTATAAATTAAGTCATGCATTCATATGATTTGGTTTTTAAAGCTGAGTTTGGAGCACTTTGTTAAACAGGTACTTTTGTAAGTCTTAAATCTAAATCGTATTAACTTTAATTAACAAAATATCAAACTTTGCTTTATGCTAAACCTAAGGTGAATAAACTTTAGATTGATAAATTTGTTAAGCTTTTTAGTTTTATTTTATTTCTAATGCAGGGGGTCTATTGTTCGCATATGATTTTTTTGTTTTATCAGCCTCAAAACTATCTAAAAGAGCTTGAGTATTTTGAAATACCATTTAAAAGATCGCCAATCATATCTTTCTCTTCTGGATACTAGAACATATTATATAAAAATAATATTAAATTTATAGTTGAGAAATGAAATATAATTATTTCATAAGTAATATAGTTAATAGATAAATTATTAACACATAAAAAAATAAGTAATTTTTATAAAATATACTTATTACATCATGAACATATTATTTTGGATATTTTAATTCTAAAATATAGAATCATATAGTTTATATAATAATATGTTCGTCATAAAATATAAAATATATTTATTAAATGGGTATGTGTTAGAACAAACCAGCAGAATATAATTCTAAAATTCCACAAGTAGAGAATGAAATTCTTGATGATGAAGATGCTGAAGACAATATTGGAGAAACTACTGAATTAATAATTGAAAGTGAAAACGGAAATCCTAAAACTAAGCTTAATCTTTCTGATTTTGAACTAATCAAAGTAATTGGAAGAGGCTCATTTGGCAAAGTTTTATTAGTAAAAAGAAAAGCAGATCAAAAGTTGTATGCAGTAAAGATTTTAAGGAAAAAATTGTTACAAAAAAAGAAATAATAAGAATAAGCACTTTAAGAGAGAAAAATAATGTCTTTAGTTAATAGTCCATTTTCTGTTAAACTTCACTATGCTTTTTAAAGTTCATCAAGACTCTATATGGTTATGGATTTTATGATAGGTGGAGAGCTATTTCTTCATCTTAGAAAAAGGTAAAAATTTAGTGAAGAATGGACATAATTTTATGCAGCTGAACTTCTAATTGCACTAGATTAATTACATTAACAAAAAATTATTTATAGAGATTTAAAACCAGAAAATATACTTCTTGATAAAGATGGACATATTGTTCTGACTGATTTTGGATTATCAAAATTGGGATATGAAATAAATGAAATTACATATTCGTTTTGTGGTACACCAGAATATGTTGCACCTGAAATCCTATATTGTAATAGTTTTATTTATGATTTATTAGAAAAAGGACATAATTATATTGTTGATTATTATAGTTATGGAGCTTTGATATATGAAATGTTAAGTGGAGCTCCACCTTTTTATTCAAAAAATAAAAAAGAAATGTTAAAAAATAGATGTGAAAAACCTTTAGAGATGAAATCTTGCTTTTCACTTTAAGCATAATCTTTATTAAAAGGACTTTTAACTAAAGACGTAAATATCATTATATAAATCAAGCCTGGATTTCGATTAGGCTCAAATGGAATATAAGAAATAAAAAAACACAATTTTTTCAATGGAATAGATTGGTTATTAGTTGAATAAAGAAAACTATAGCCTCCTATTATCCCTAGAATTTAACATTTAGAAGATTTGTCTAATTTTGCTCCAACATTTTTATAATAACCTTTAATAGAAACTCCAGATTCTTAATAGGATGTTTATTTTGAAGGATTTACTTATTAACAAGAATTTTGATAGGCAAATCAATAAAGATAACATAACTTTATTGATTATTAAATTTTTAGGGTTAATTATTACTATTCATGCTTATTCTTAACCAACTTATAATTCCAACTCTGCAATTCTTCTTTATAATCCTAATAATTATTATTGAAGAGCTGTCTTTTCTCCTTTTAATCCTGTAATTTATTATTATAATCTTGAATTTTCTGCTTTTTAATGAGCAAAATGTCTAATTATAAATATAAATTGATACCTTTTCATTTCTTCTTCAATTCTCATAAGTTCATTTGTAAGAGTCTTTTTAACATCTTATGTTTTCATACTTAAAACAGATTCTAAGGTATCTTTCTCAGATTTAAGAATTTAAACTTCTTTTTTATGAAAATTCATTTCATCTTGAATACCTTTAATGGTTTCCTAAAATAATAGATAATTTAATAGAATTACTTCTAAACTCATAAGTTTTCCCTTTAATGAAGCTGGATTTTGAGATCCTCCAAAACTTTATCCAGTTTATGCTAAATCATTTCCCCCCTTAGTAAGATTATTACCTAGAGATTTTAAAGTATTACTCATATATAAATAATAAATATATAATTATATTAAAAAATTAAAACACATTCCTTATACATGTACTTTACATAATATTAATATATTTTATCACCAGTCTTTATCTGCCTTTTCACCATCAACTTATTATTCATGATCTTCACCTTCAGCTTCTTATTTGACTAAATTGTCTGTAACACCCAATTAATCATTTGTAATTTCCTTGTGATAAAACAAATCAACCAAAACATCCCATTCTTCATCTAATAAAATATAATATTATTAATATATACTTTATCCTAATTCTCCTCTTAAAATTTTAACTTCTCTTGCCAATAACCAATAAATCATAGAAATAGATTTAGTATCTCTATTTCCTACTGGAATTGGAATGTCAACATATTATAATGGAGTATCAGAGTTACATAAAGCAATAACTGGAATATTAACATATGAAGCTTCAACAATTGCTTATCTATCCTATAAAATATTTATTCAAATATTCTTACTAAATGTGGATCTGTTACAATCAACAATTATGGTTCTTAGAATTTACCACTAGCACTGTTAGATTGATTTGTCAATGTACCTGGAGTCCATCTTGCTGATCTAGTTGAACTGGCTTATGTATAGTGAGCAAATTTTATGACAGCTCTTTAACCAATTGGTCTAGATGAGACAACCTGAATTACTCATGATAATCATACCATGACATCTTAAGGTTAATCAATTGCAGCAATAACTCTAGCAGCCAATTTTATATGCTACCATGTTTCTTCTAAATTCAAAATGTATGAACCATTATCACTTCTATGAGATACATATCTCTTCATGTCAAAATGAAGTTGTTTTGTTCCAATATGGCACTAAAGGAAATCTATATAACATTTTTACTTATGAAGCAATCAATCTTTTGATGTCTTATTCTTTTCTGCTCATGCAATCAAATATAAATATCTATTTTTTTAAATATTTAACAAATCTCAATTATTTCTTAATCAATTTTTTATAATCAGTTATCCATTCAATAAACTCACTAAAATCTGATATTATATGCCTATTTTGATCTCTTCAATCACATATAACAATCTCATAGATTAATTAATTGACTGCTTTCTTAAATATTTCATTATAAAATTAATAATTCAAATATTTAACACTTTTTTCAAATATATCAATCACATAAACATCAAAAGGATCCAACTAAATAGATAATATTACATTTCTTTTCTAACTTTAGATAT